GGCCATGCTGAGGCCGCGTCCCACATACAGCAACTAGAAGGATGTGCAGCTATGACACACAACTATCTACTGGGGCTTTGCAGGGAAAAATAAATAAATAAAATCTTTAAAATACATAGAGAACTCACACAACCCAATAGCAAACAAACAATATGATTAAAACATGAGCAGAGGAACTGAATAGACATTTTTCTGAAGAAGACATACAAATGGCCAATAGGAACATGAAAGGATGCTCAACATCACTAATTATCAGGGAAATGCAAATGAAAACCACAATGAGCTATCACCTCACACCTGTCAGAATGGCTATCACCGAAAAGACAAAAAGTGACAAATGTTGGCGAGGATGTGGTGAAAAGGAAACCCTAGTGCACTGTTGGTGGGAATGTAAATTGGTGTAGCCACTATGGAAAACAGTATCGAGCCTCCTCAAAAGATTAAAAATAGAACTACCACATCATCCAGCAATCCCACTTTGGGATATATACTCAGAAGAAATGAAATCACAATTTCAAAGAGAGATCTGTACGCCCATGTTCATTGCAGCATTATTCACAATAGCCAAGATACGAAAACAACCTAAGTGTCTGTCAATGGATGAATGGATAAAGAAGATGTGATATATACACACAATGGAATATAATTCAGCCTTGAGAAAGAAGGCCATCCCGCCATTTGCGACAACACGGATAGACTTTCAGGGCATTATGTTAAAGTGAAATAAGTCAGATAGAGAAAGAGAAATATTGTATGATCTCACTTATGTGTGGAATCTTAAAAAAGCCAAACTCACAAAAACAGAGAGTAGAAAAGTGGTTGCCAGGGGCTGGGAGGTGGGGGATATAGGAAGAGGTTGGTAAAAGGGTACAAACGTTCATCTATAAGATGAATAAGGTCTGAGAATCTAATGTATAACATGGTGACTGTAGTTGATAACACTGTACTGTATAAATGAAATTTACTAACCGAGTAGAACTTTAATGTTCTCACCAAAATGTATATATAAATATGTGAGGTGATGGATGTGTTAATTAACTAGATGGGAGAGGAGTCCTTTCACAATGTATATGTATATCAAATCATCACAATGTACACTTTAAATATCTTACAATTTCATTTGTCAATTATACCTCACTAAAGCTGAAAAAATAAAAAGAATCTACACAGTAACAAATTTCCCCTCAATGCCACGTCAGCACAGCTGCAGTGATATATTTTGCTTTTACAAAAAAAAACTCCTTCAAAAATAATTAGAAAATATAATCTATCTTACCTGCAAATACAATTTGTCTGCTTTCAATTTACTTTCCAATTTTAGCAATCTCTTTGCCTGTTCCGGTACATCCAGCTTCATTTTTAGCATGCACTTAGTTTCCCGAACAACTTCCAAAATTTTGGGATCAAAATTAACCAGCAACTTCCCTGTTTCTGGATGTCGCACAAAAAGTGTGGCTTGTAAAGCTACAAATAAATGATTGTTGACATTACTTATTCTGGATTTCTTTTCTGCTTCCAGCTCTGTTTACATCCCTGTTTTCCTCATTGGACTACTGACTGTTTAAGAGCGGAACAGTATTTTTGGATACGCCAGGTGCTAAGGCACAGCGTCTGACAAACGGTCAGTGCTCAAAACTTAGATAAATGAATGCGGAGTGTCTGCAAAGCCATAAATCAGATCCAGAGAGATAAAAATGGACCAAGAGTGGATAGCCTTTGTGCTGTGAACTGCAATACTTTTCTGAATGAGTCTAAGAGAGCTGTATTACAAGATTAGTTTATTTTTATGAATTGTGATTTAACCCCTGGGAGAGAGTTGGAAAATGTGCACAAGTACAAAATATGACACACCTCATAGATTTCAAACCTTTTTCTATGCCTAACCCTCAAACTAGCTTTTTTAAGGAGGTTTATTTGAATTAAATCTCCATCCTGAATTTCTGATAACTAGGCTCAATATCAGTAAGAAATATTTATTAAACACCATTGAGCGTGAACTCCTAGAATGTAGAAGACTTTTTTACACTACATCTGAACTACTACATGAACATCATTCATATAAATAGGCATTTTCAGATACACTTTTTATTATGAATTGAGATACATAATCCCAAACAGTTTGTGCTGATTATTTGTTATCCTAACATGAGTTATTTCTAAAGTCATAATAATAACACACTTATAGACCAGTATGTGCTAGCTTGACTTACATCTTCTATCAACAAACACTACTAACATGAGAATTTCACATGTATCTTCCAAGCCTCGCATTACTTCACAGAATGTGGTTGCATCGAATTTCTAGTAAAATAAAATAGTCTGTATATCCCTTTGAAGTTAGTTGACTTTCAGTCACCAGATAAAATTAGTCTCAATATGGTTCTTAATGATGCTGGTTTCATGAAGATTTCAACCAAAAAATTTACCCAATTCATTTGGAATCTTTTTAAAATTTGGCTAGAAATTATTTATTCTCCCAAGTAAATTCCAAAAAACCTTTGAACATTCGTTTAATAAAATCTGTCATCCTTGAGGCTGTACTGAGTGCTCTTGAAAGGACAGCGTGGTCAGCCAGACCACTAAGAAAAATGACAGGCAGGAAGTCTGGTCCAGGACTCAGTGAACATTTCATTCTAGGTGAATCATCATCAGTGAAACTTTACAGAGCAACCAACTGAAAGAGGCCAATACTAGGTCCCCAATTATTATTCCAAGTTTCCATATAGTTAAATATAGTCACATCAATACAACTGCAAGAAGTCTTCCAGAGCATTTCCACTAGACCGTGTTCAGATGAAAGGCAAATTTGAATCCTGGCTCTCCTACTTCCTAGCTGTGTGATCTTGGGCAAGTCATTTAACCTCTCAGTACCTCGGTTTCCTCATCTGTAAATGAGGATAATAATAGTTCCTTGTAGGGTTACCCTGATGATTAAAGGAAGTTGTGTACTTGAAGTGCTTAGACAAAGCCTGGCATATGGTAAGCACTATGTAAATGTTAGCTATGACTGCTATTTAAAGGATATAAAGATGAAAGCACATAGAGAGTACCCTGGGAATATGTAGCGCAGATAAGACAGATCTATAAAGCAAGAAGTGTCATGAGAAAGAACTACAGATAAAGGGTATGGAGGACTCTGTAGGAGGAAGACATTATTACCTGCCAGGAAGAATAAGGAAGAGCTTTATGGAACAGGTGACTGTTGAACTTGTTTTTGAATATGTGCAGATAAGAGGAAAAATCAGTGGGACAAAAAAAAAGTAGAAAAGTGCACAGCATTATAGAATCAAAATAGTACATGCTCCAGATGTCAGCTGTAAAAATTCTCTTTTGCCCTTTTCCATAATGTGAGTTTTAACCTTCTCTGATGCTCCTTTGAGAGTGTTGCTCCATTAGCAGGCTTTCATTAGGATCCACTGGGTCCTGCCATACACATTACCCAGAAACAGCTGGCCTGATAGAAGTGGCCTATTAAAGACTTAACTAAGGTGCCATTTGGGGAAGACACCCTGCAGGGTTGGGGCGCTGTCCTCCAGGATGCAGTAAATCATCAATGGCCTGTAAATAGTGCTGTGTCCCCATATGAGTCTAGAACCAAGAGGCAGAAGTAGGAGTAATCCCTCTCACCATCAATCCCAGTGACCAACCACAGAATTCATGCTTCCTGTGCCAGCAATTCTGTGTTCTGCTGATCCTGGCATGGGAGGGAGAAACCTTTCTACCAGGGAACACAGTCAGAGTTCCACCAAGGTTACAGATAAGAGCTTCAGGTTAAGATGGAACCAAGTAGAAACCTGAACGGACCAACAATTGAGCCTACACAATAACAACAACATCCCAGATAATGCCAGCATGGATGGATGACGGCTTAGAACCATCCATCCCCACCTCACACTTAACTCTGCCCAACACCTTGGCACCTCTCAGAAGTACTTAGACACAGTCCTAATACTCTTAATTTGATGGAGCTTAAAATTGAAATTAAATTCAGCTATAGAAAAAAAAAAAGAAAGAAAGCGAGTGAGGGAAGAAGGAAGGAGGGAGGAGAGGGAGGGGAAGGAGGGAGGGAGGGAGGATGGAAGACAGGCAAAGCTGCAATTCTTTCTCCCCTGACGGGGACTGAGATTTGAATCTATAACATGGTAAAACCAAGTAGGAAAACTTTCCTAAATCTATGGGGAAATATCTATAAAGAGTTTTTTTAATTTACTTTTAAATACTGTTTTTCAGAGGAAAGTCATAATCTAAGTATATCATGGCAATTTTTGTTTATAAAATCAGAATATTATTAACAACGGTAAAAAAATAAATAATTGCATCATCTCCAAATCTAAATTTTTAACCATCACAAGATTATATAAAAGGAATGTAAAAAATTCTCCAGAACCATGAACCCATTCAAAATCACTTAACATGCCGTCTGTCGCATAATTGCACAGTCTTATACACACCGTACTGCAACTGAGAGATGTCTCTGACCCATGCCGTATGATAGACCACCTCGAATTCCACCAGAACATAGGAAATTTTGTTATACTGACGAATGACAGCTTTACCTTCCACACTGGACAAAATTTCTGAGTTTTTCTGTTTTTTAAGGGAAAAAGAAAGATTTGTGTTTAAAAGACTGCTGATTGTTTTCATGTCTAAACCACAAAGCTGTTTATATTTAAAATGACATCAAATAATTATGCTACCAATTTAGATTTTGCCTCGGAGTAAAACAGAGATGAGAAAGGCTGTACAAGCTAGAGATGGAAGTACGGAAACATTATCAGCATTATCAGCAGAAGCGGAAAATTAGAAAAGGAAATAAAGGATTTAAAAGAGAATTCTCTAGCCCTCAGCCAGCCCCAGGCATTGAGAGTCTCAACCTTCAATTCTCTATTCCCTCCCCATTTATCTGGACAAGATAAAATGGACTGAATTTCCTTGAACTGTGAACATCAGGGCAAATTCCTAAATTCCAGCAGTAAAAAAATGTAACTGTATACCAAGAACAAAAACCAAATTTCTTTATGTAAAAATGGAAAGTTCTATATTTGGAGCCACATACATCAAAACCTGGGCAATCTCTGCTCTGCCACTGCAGAGTTCATCAGCAATCAATCCCCATCCTGGCCTCTTTTCCAGGACCAGGGTGACAATTTTCTTTTTTTTAATAAATAACAATAAAATAAATGATAGCAGCCAAACAGAAACAATGAAAATGTAATATTTCATAATGCTTAAATAATAAAATTACTTGCAAGACTATTGTTTGATAGTTATTTTGTTCTGTATTTAGGCATAAGACTCAACACCAAGCAAACCAACTCTGCTTTGCTACTCTGTCTCTTTAAAAAACAAAACAAAAGAGAAAACAAAGAGAAGACAAACTGGCAATTTCAGAAGGCCAACAGAGCCTGAGAGTATCCTGGTGTTTGCCAGAAATCTAACAATCTTAGGGACACAGAGAATGAATGTATTCTACTATCCTCTGCTCTAGGTCTCCGTTCTCCATACAGGAACATACTCCCTGAGTATATCTTCACCTTCATTAATACATATCAGTGACCCATCTGTCCACATAGAGAAGTGAGCTTCAGCACTAGGCCTGTACTTTGTTTTCAAAACAATCATTTTTTAAAAGCCTTTATAAAGTGCCCTGTATTATTAAAGTCATAAAATTATAAGATCACCCCTAAGAGATAACTGCAATTAAATGGGCTTATCTACCAAACATGAAAGAACTGGCTTAGCCTCTCTCAAGCATATTTATGAACTAAACTTTCTTCATCCAGTAAAAGAATTAGCTCTAACTACTTTAATGGACACAGATATTATAGGATAAAATATAATTCTTGTATTAAAAACCATCATAATCTACATACTGTAAATTTAGCTAGTGGCTTACAAAGAAATAGTTGATGGGCTCACTTATCCGGCGGTAGAGCTGCCTCACCCAAAGTATTTTTCCTGCTATCGGGGGCATGTTGCGAGCAAGAGGGGGGTCATCTTTTTGAGAATGATAAAGCTGCAATTAAAGATCTGGTATTAATGTCTGAAATTCAATACAATGGAAAAGGCAAAAAATATACAGTTATATTTGCATTGGTGTTTTACCGTTATTCACATTTTACACACAGGGGGTAGTCAATAAATATGTAAATGCACTTCAGAGATGATAATCTGAGGCTCAGAAACTATGATGTTTACAATATATGACACGTAATTATCTCTTAACCCTTATTTCCCATTACATGTATATTTTTTTCTGCCTTTTATCCCAAATTTAAAGGAGGTATTCAAAAGAAGAAGCAACTAGCTCCATTATTTCTGTCAAAATATTCTCTACAGCCCATATTTCTGTACACAAAAACATTAACTTAAATGGGCTTTCCTATACACATATAAATTCTACTTGAAAAGACAGTTCTTAAGAGCAAAGGAGTGTAAATCTGGCTGTCCAGCGACGCACTGTCCGCGCCTTCCCACATAAAGCAGAGCGTCACAGCTGCTGAGCAGTGAAAGGACAGCTCTGAAACGCTTGCCACAGATAGCAACGGCAGATACTTTCAGAATATTTCTCTTTTTGTACTAAAGTACCATTCTATTCACAAACATGATACTTGCCTTCTTAGTAGCTTCAAGTTCAGCCACGTAACACTGAAGAATTCGCTCAACTGTGTGGTTTATTTCTATTTGAAGACAGGGAATATTCAGCTTCTGGAATCTAAAAGCAATTGAAGTTGAATAATTAAAAAGTAAATGAGAAACATACTTAAGAATTGCTGCAGTCCTAAAAATCCATTCATTCATTTGACAAATATTCATACCAGGCCTCACGCCATGTCCTAGGATACAATGATGAACAAGACAGGTGTGGTTCCAGCCCTCCTAGAGCCTACAGTTATCTCATGGAGAAGGTAGATATCAGTCAAGAGTCCGGCCACGCTGAGGCCGCGTCCCACATACAGTAACTAGAAGGATGTGCAGCTATGACATACAACTATCTACTAGGGCTTTGGGGGAACAAAATAAAAAATAAATAAAAATTAAAAAAAAAAAAGAGTTACATAAATAGTTATTTAAATTACAAGGGTGCCAGAAATGTATACAACAGGGGAAGCCACCCAAGTCTGGGGAATCAAGAAAGACTTCCCTGAGAAAGTGACACTTAAACTGAGATTGAAAAGATGAGTGGGGAGTTGGCTTAGCAAAAATGGAGGGGAGCTCATTGACTGGCCCTCTGCCAATATTAAGGCTCACATAATTCCAAATAGCCACAATCAGATAATGATTTTTGTCAGCCAAATATCACTTCCACTTACAGACTAAATGATGCACAGGAAGTACGAGAATCATAATGTTCTGATACTAAAATGAATTGACACCAGTAGACTATAGGTAAAAAAAAAGAGAGACAGAGACAGAAAGAGAGAGACAGAGAGAAATTGCCAAGAAAATGGTACCTGCCACCTGTCTGTGCAATAGTCACTCATCAAAATCATTTTATGTCTGTTTTGACTCTTATGATGGTCTCATGAGGTAAGGTCTCAGGAGGCATGATCCATCATTATAGAGATGTGGAACTATGGCAAAACCAGATCCAAACTCGGATCCCCTGGCTCTCAGGGGAGAGTTTCTCCCAAACATGGGTCATGAGCCCTTCCTGGGCTGGAAGGAAACAGCCTCTAGTCCAGCTCACCCCTCTTATCCAGACTTTCCTGCGGTTTAGAGGAGCATGCAGTCAGGAATAGGGGTAAAGAAAGCTGCAGGGGCACTCAGGAGGGAAAATGGAAAGTTTGGGGATCTATGACTCTTAGATAATTTCACTTTTAGAAATCCTTTCAGTACACAGAATTAAACATTATTTGTTCCCTTTCCAATAACAGCTATGAAATTAACCTCAAATATATTACAGAGCTGGAGGGAAAAAAATGTGAAATAATTTCATTTTCTTATTGCAAGACTTTCTGCTACAAAAAAATACAATGAAAAATATCATACTATAGTTTGAATTTTTACCAGTCTATTTAATGGTACTTGAAAGATTAATGTTTATAAGTTTTAAAGTTTACACAGGAGAGATTTCCAAGCACATCTTATTTGAAACCGTATTTTCAAATATAAAGTTACCCCACGTAGAAACTATACTGCTTAATGCATTATAAATACCTTTGAAGCAACTGAAGAGCCTGCTGAGAAGATAAGATTTTTCCAAAAGTACTGTTCATAAATGCCTGTATTTGTACCTAAAATAAAATATTAATATTTAAATGATTTGGGGCATTAAGGAAGAAACTATTTCGTTTAACAACAATCAACGATTTTCCTACGGAATCAAAATAGCCTTAAACACACCTACCATCTAAGCATTGAGAACGGCACTGACCAGTATGGTGGCCACTGGGCACATGTGGCTACTGAGCCCTTGAAATGTCGCTACTTGGAAAGGAGATGTGTGTAAGTATAAAAAACACACTAGATTTCAAAGACTTAGTACAAAAAAAAAGAATGTAAAATTTATCATTGATTTTTATATTGATGACATTAAAATTAGATCTTGAATACATTGGGTTGAATCAAGTATATTATTAAAATTAATTTCACCTGCTTCTTTTAACTATTATTCATCTGGCTACTAGAAAATTAAAATTACTTATGTGGTTTGCATTTGCTGTTCATTATTTATTGGATATTACTGACCTAGAGAATTTATGAAAGCAGTGAATGTCCCTTACCAAGCACATTTCTTTGGGATTTAGAATTTCTAAGCATGTTGGTAGAACACTGTAATGACACTATAGACACCCAGGGTCAACAGGTGTCATTTTCCAACACTGCTGCTCTCAGAAGCCTCTTTGCCAGTGCTAAGGACGAACGGGAAGCAGAAAATGTCTTCTGAGATTCCCACCATCCCTAGCAGTGGACTCCAAACTCCTGGTACCCAACTGATGGAACTCTCAGTTTGAAGCACTCTTTGCAAATTACTTTCACTTACAGATTATATTGGTATGGTCTACTAATATATACCACACCCATCAATCAACACTGGAAAAGGAAGGAAAGTTAAAACACTGATGCCTCTTTTTGAATATTAAAAAGTTAATATGGCCTCTAAATTTACTGAAAGCTAAAAATTTGCATCTAAGATCACAGTAAAGTCTTTAAAACATATAATCTTTATTAATAAATCATAAAACAGTTTAAGCATTAAGTTTAAAAAAAAAAAAAAAACAAGTTCCCATTGCCAAAAAGATATAACTCCCAAAGCATTTTGGAAGCAAACTCTACTCTGCCCAACTAGCCAAACACTAAAAGCAATAAATAAAATATATCTTAATATAAACAGTCTAATTTTCAAAAACTGAAAGGAAATCTACTCAAAAAGAAAAAGTGTTGTTGTTAGAATTTTAGGATCTTTCTTATTTATATTGCCCAGATTACATGTAATATACTTTTTAAAGTCTTTAAAAAAAAAATGAGAAAAAATATATAATTTTCCTCACCTTCATGGCAAGAATTTCAGACTCAGGAAGTAGACAGTGTGTATTCCTGTCCCTCCCCGTGTCTCCAGGACATTCTGCAGCAAAGAGGAAACCATTCCCCAAGGCTTAACCTGGGTTTACAGTAGTTTTCAGTAACAGAGTTACTGAGGTCATATAAGCCCAAAAAGTGAGAGGGAAATATGTTACAGTCTCATCTGACATACTTTTTAACTACCCTTCATCCCTCTGGTGTCCCTTAAGCTATGACACACAGGATGAGGGTCTCTTAAGCTGTAGAGAGAATGGGGCCATAAAGTGCAGAGCCAAGGGCAGAGCGATCCATCTTCCTAATTTGTTCTCAAATCTTTTCACATTTAAAACAAAGACTAAGGATTACAAATGTTCTCTTAGACTGGAAAAATGACATTGGCTCCTTGGCACAACAAAAATCAAATACAAATTTTAATGTAGACTAAAAATAAACCCTAGATACAATAGCCCTTTGGGCTTCTGGTTATTCACTGAATCTTTTATTGAATATACTCATTTTTAATTTTAAAAAAAGGAAAATATTTTGTGGACTAGATAAAAAATTATTCACACTGGCAATTTTTTTTTTCTTGGTGAGGAAGATTAGCCTTGAGCTAACATCTGTTGCCAATCCTCCTCTTTTTGCTGAGGAAGACTGGCCTTGAGCTATCATCCGTGCCCATCTTCCTCTATTTTATATGGGACGCCGCCACAGCATGGCTTGATAAGCGGTGTGTAGGTCTGCGCCCGGGATCCGAACCCGCAAACCCTGGGCCACCCAAGTGGAGCATGCGAACTTAACCACTAAGCCACAGGGCCAGCCCTACACACTGGCAAATATTTTTGATGAATTTGCAAGAGTGACTTATAATAAATAGTAAATACGTGAATTCCAGTACTATTCATCATATTTCAGCTTTACTAAGGTAAAAGTATGTATAACTACTTACCTCTAAACCGTTGATTTTTGCCATGAACTCTAAGAAATCTGTGTCAAATTCTGTCCTTCTTGGATCCAGAATGTCATATTGCTTTTTCTTAACCCCTTGATAGATATTTTTGAATTTTATTGCCATAATATCTATTCCCTCTATGGTAGAATTACTCAAGGCGGAATATGTTTGCACAATAGTTATCATTTCTGTAATCTTAAAGAAAAAAGTGTTATTTCATTTTAAAAATGAGAAATTAGCACCCTTCCCTAAAATAAGCTCTTCATGAAACAATGATTAAAAAAACAAACCAATAAACAGGCCCTAGAATCATTTACCTAAAACCAACCAGAAGAGAGAAAATGAAAGACAAATCTCTGTCCCAATCATTACTGCTCCTGGATGATTTAAGACAGATGATGTTTTGTCATATCCAGAGAGAGTTTACAATCTTTCTCAAAATTGGATCATTTTGTCTTTCAAGAGGGGAAAAAAAAAAATTTTGAGTAAAAGCCCTTGCAGATGTCAAAATAGCTTCATCCTTTTGTTCTTGAGAATTTTCTAAAAATCACTTCACTGGATCAATGGATTCAAAAGCTTTACCCCTCTTCTTGGCCCTCACTATTGGTCTGACAGGCGACACTAGCATAAATTCACATCACTTCTCCCTGGGTACCTGCATTTAGATAAAGGAAAGGCCCCAGAATCCTGAAGGATGACTGCAGTCACTTCTGACCCTTGAAGAGCCCTGGGAAACCGTCATAATGAACTTTATTTCAGAAATGGCTGCCTCTATCTCAGTGTACCAACACCACCTACTTCACCAAAAAAAAAAATCTTTCATGTCTACAGGATACTCAGTTCCTTAATCTTCATCAATGATTCCCTATTTTGATTCCTGCTTTAGAGAACAATGCCCAAAGCTCTCCCAGCCCGGCCCATTCGTCTAATGGCCAAAAGGAATAAACTCGTTTTCAGGGGAGTCCTCCAAACACAAGACACCATGGAGAGAACATTACTGGTCCTCCTAACACAGCCAGCAGAATTCGCATAAGATCCTGCGCATGTCAACCCAGAATGAGCATGAGAGTAACTGTCACTCTTATGCCACTATTTCCGTACAGTTCCAAAAACCCACTGTCATCCTAGAAGCCACCCAAATCTGGAGGAAATATAGGCACCTGGAATTTACCTGAAATTTACAGCATGCTATAAATAGTCTATACAAACATGAGAAATATCTGAGTTTCCTCCTAACACATACATTCCACTCACTTTAAAAAACAAAAAGAAACAAAGTTTAAAAAATAAAAATAACTATTCTAACCTGCTAAGACTCTGCCCTTTACCCCTTACCTTACCACCTGGCCCCCAATGGCCAGAAACTGGGATGAAATTCCTGTCACTAATAGGTTCTCTCTACTGTCCATGGGTGAATGAGTGGTCATCAAGAGGCAGAAACGGCAGTCAGTCTCATGCTTGGCCCTTCAAACTTAGCCAACACATCCCTCACCCTCATGCCACATAGCAGCAATATAAAAGCCATGGTACTCAGCCATGACCTTGCTCTTGCTTGTTTGTCCTGATCTTGGCTTTTTCACCAGCTCTCTCTTTGTCAACTTTTGACCCCTCAGTAGTGACAATCAATTTATAATCTCTTCTCCACTCACCAACCTCGGCATCTTTTCCAGTTCTCCACATGCTATGATTCCTTCCTCTCAGTGATGGGGTAGGGACTTTACTCATAGTCCCTACCCCATCAACTAGCTCCATTTCCTTAAATCTCCCCCCAGCAATACCAGCTTCTCACCCCTTCTCTTCTCTCCCACAAATGTTCAGGTTGAGAAGAAAACAAAACTAAACCAGAGCTCTGGGAATCACCAATATTCACCAAAATTTACATGGCAGGAAGAGGAAGAAGAAACAAAGGATATTGTACACACTTAATTCTGGCTCTTTAGGACAAACTAACACTCAATGCACCATCAAGTCTCTACCTCCCAAAAAAAGGTGCATTTGAGGCACCCTAAATTGACATACTAGCACCTTCCTCGCTTGTTCCTTAAAGATCCCCGACATCTCTACCCACCTCCGAGGTCTTGGCTCTCTAACCCCAATCTCAGTCCTGTTTGTCCTTTGACTTGGCACTTGGCTATACTGACATTTGAATGTCAGTTTTTTCTAATAGGCTCTGACTTACCTTGCCCTTCTGACTCTCCTTTTCAACTATGTAAAAGTACATGGGGGTGGCCCAACAGTGGTCCCTACTGTGCCCCACTCATTAGGGGAAGCCCATCCAGTCAGCTCAGTAATCACCTCTAGGGGATTATGCAAAATCCTGGCCACACTTCAGGGTAAGTTTTACAGCCCCATCTTTGAGAATCTGAACACCAATATCCACCATTACACCTGGGAGAGATGCCAGTCAGCCAAGAGATTCTTAGCCCAGGGGAGCTGGGATAATCTAGTAATCAGGATGCACTTCAAATAGGGCCTCTAGGGAGTGCAGCATTAGCTCTGGTTGCTGAGCTCTTGTGGCATGAAGTCGTATTCTTAAGACTAGAGGCAGGGCTTGTCCAGAGGTAGGGCAGGGGGAGTGGCTAATGCAGCTGGCCATTACCACCCACTCCCTCCAGCATCAGGAATGCTTCAGCTGCTACTTCACAGATATACGTCCATCATGTCCAGCATTAGACCTGCCGCCAAAGATCTTTACTGCCAACGGGCTAACTATTAAAGTCCAGCCCTGAAACTCTAGCAAACGTAAAACTGCATCTAGGCTGGAAAGGATCCTGGCTTTTGGAAAAAATAGGATAACCAGGACCCACCTCCAGGTTTACAGCCTAGTGGATTCAGAAACATTAAGCACATTTGTGGAACAGGTCCTGACCAATGAGGCCTACTTTTTAATTTAACCCATGCCAATATCCTCCTGCCAGACCTGGTGGTCTAGTGGTTTCGATTCGATGTTCTCACCTCCATGACCTGGGATCATTTGCCAGTCAGGGTACCATATCACCAGTCTGTTGATTGTCATGCTGTGGAGACTGCCTGTTGCTGTGATGCTGAAAGCTATACCTCCAGTATTTCAAATACCAGCAGGGTCCCCCATGGTGGACAGGTTTCAGCAGAGCTGGCAGACTAAGACAGACTAGGAAGAAGGACCTAGCCACTCACTTCCAAAAAAATTGGCCGTGAATAGCAGCAGAGCATTGTTTGATATAGTGCCAAAAGGTGAGAGGATGGTGCAAAAAGGTGGGGCAGGGGTTCTGCTCTGCTGTACACAGGGTCGCTAGGAGTCAGAATCCACTCCACAGGCACTAACGACAACAACAAATATCTTTCTATTTGGACATTTGCCCCCAAGAAATTCCTACTGCCCACAAAACAGCCTCATACAACAGTTTCCTAGATATGGTACCAAAAGCACAAGCAACAAAAGAAAAACTTGATAAATTGGACTTTATCAAAATTAAAAACTATCATGCTTCAAAGAACACCATCAAGAAAGTGAAAAGATAACCCACAGAATGGGAGAAAATATTTGCAAATCCTATCTAATAAGAAACTTATACCCCAAATATGTAAAGAACTCATAACTCAACAATAAAAATACAAATAACTACTGGGAATCTATCCAACGAACCTGAAATCAACAATCCAAAGAGGCTTATGCACCCCTATGTTCATTGCAGCATTATTCACTATAGCCAAGAAGTGGAAGCAACCTAAGTGTCCCTCGACTGACGATTGGATCAAGAAAATGTGGTATATATATACAATGGAATACTACTCAGACATAAAAAAAGACAAAATTGTCCCATTTGCAACAACATGGATGGGCCTGGAGGGTATTATGTTAAGTGAAGTAAGCCAGAAAGAGAAACACAGACACTGTATGATCTCACTCATATGTGGAATATAAACCAACACATGGACAGAGAAAACTGTATTGTGGTTACCAGGGGCCATGAGGGTGGGGGGTAGGCACAAGGGGTTAAGGGAGACATATATATGGTGATGGACAAACAAAAATGTACAACCCAAAATTTCACAATGTTAAAAACTATTAAAACATCAATAAAAAAATACAAATAACTAAATTCAAAAGGATTTGAATAGAAATTTCTCCAAAGAAGAAATGTAAATGGACAATAAGCACTTGAAAAGATGCTCAACACTATTAGTCTTCAGAGAAATGCAAATCAAAACCACTCACCATTTCACCACCACTGGGATGGCTAAATTCAAAAAGATATAATAACAAGCATTGACAAGGATGTGGAGAAACTGGAACCCTCATACATTGCTTATGAGAATGCAAAATGATGCAACTACTTTAGAAAACAGTTTGGCAGTGACTATATGACCCAGCAATTCCACTCTTATGCACATACTCAAGAGAAATGACAACATATGTCCACACAAAAATGTGTACACAAATGTTCATAGCAGCATTATTCATAATAGCCAAAAAGTGGAAATAACCCAAATGTCCATCAACTAATGAATGGATAAATAAAATGTTGTGTATCCATACAATGGAATAGTATTCAGCAGTAAAAAAGAATGCTACAACACAGATGAACCTTGAAAACATTATGCTAAGTGAAAGAAGCCACTCACAAACGTCCACATATTATATGACTCCATTTACATGAAACGTCCAGAATAGGCAAATCTATAGAAACAGAAAGTAGATTAGTGGTTGCTTAGGGCAGGGTAGAGGGGAAAATGGGGTATGACTGCTAATGAGCACAGGGTTTCTTTCAGCAGGAATGAAATGTTCTAAAATTAGATTGTGGCAATGGTTGCACAGTTTTGTGAATATATAGAAAATATTGACTTGTACACTTTAAATGGGTGAATTGTATGGTATGTGAATTATATCTCAATAAAGCTGCTAAAGAAACAAACAAAAATAGCCCCATAGAAGTACGTATAAATGACCCACTCAGTCACATGTTCTCTTCATCACCTGTACTTTCCTATTCTGGCTGGATCAGGAGGTTACAAATAAACAATAGGCTTCTGGACATGTCTAGGAAATGCCCTTCAACCTGTGTAATGCCCCCACCAATTTCCAGCAAACAATGAGGAGGCTTCTAAATACTACCAGGACCTAGGGAGGTGGCAAAATGGTGGAAGCATGGAGAGGGTGATACCTAGATGATATCCTATAGACTGACTCCAAAAAACCTCTGGTATGGGCTGCTCTATATCCTCTGAAAAAATATTACTCCTCTCCAGCTAGTCCTAATAAATGAATCAAAGGTACAGAAGTTTCTAACCCACGTCTTTCCCACAAAGACAGCACAATGTTCACGTATACACCATATACACCAGCCTAGAAAGAGAAGGTGCCCACACATCCAGATAGGACACAAGCACTGGCTTCTGCCAGGTGTTGCAGGTATTTCATTCCACACTTTTTCTCACACTTTCCCTAACACAACAGTTAAGAGCAGAGGCTTTGAAGTTCAAGTTCCATAGGTGGAGGTAGAATTGAGGTCTTGAGAGAGGGGAAAGTTTGCAATAGCTTTTGTGTGACTGGCAGAAGACAGTAATGGCGAATGAAAAAATAAGTTATAATAAAATGCAGTGATTGGTGACTAATATTGGACGAGTCATATGAATAGTGAGACAAGATCTGGAACAATAATTCTCAACGGCGCTACACAAACTACAAAATAACCCCAGAAAGGTGTGGTTGAGGGTGGCTGTGCCTACATAATGCTCACCTTCTCCAATCTTTTGCAGAAAGCTTCAAATTTTCCAAATATATACATTTCTGAAACCTCAAAAGATTTCTCCCCTGAGGATTCTAAAATTTGTTTCCTTGTTTTGTGAAAAGATGTCTGATATTCCTTGAATAGAAAAATGCAATCCTATGAGAGAATTAAAAGAAGAGCAAGAAAGGGTAGTGAGGCATTTGTTCAGGAGTCAAAAATTCTTTCCTCATGCGGAACTGATCACACCAGCCCCTCAACAGGGTCTGTTGCTATTAGCATTAAAAATTCAAGTTCTCTGCCTATGCATTGAAAGGCCTGTGAAAATCAACATCGTTTTTTAAAATTTACAACATATTTTCATCTTCTTCATTCTCGTTATTTTCCCTTAACTCTTACCCTTATCAAAGTATGACATATACTACTTATTTTCACATTTTCATGGCTAATTAGAACTCCCAGGGGCCAGAAATTATCTATCAATTCTATCTATTATCAATTATATGTCTTATTCAGTTGGCATCTTTTAATCAGCATTCTTTAATACAGATATATAAAACATTAAGACTGTGAAATACTAGTTTATCATCCAACCATCATTTCTCCACAAGGAGATTATAAAGTCTTTAATGAGTGCATTGCTGAAATCCTAATATTTGACTATAGCTATACCAATGGCCAGTTCAACCAGGCTAGTGAACCTATAAGAAATAAAAAAGAGGACATTGTCACTAGGATCCAGTAGGAACTCATATGTCAAGCTAACAGAAAACCAAACCAGCTTAAAAAATAATGCTAAACTTTTTCAAGGCCACCAATGGCCAAGCCTAATCTTTATCGTAATGTCATCTTCCTGGGTCTGACTCCCCAGTTCCAGCTCTCTCTTCACCATATAAGGACCCTTGGGCCCACTTGGAGAATCCAGGATAGTCTCCCCATCCCAAGGTCAGCTGATTAGCAACCTCAACACCTTAATTCCCCCTTGACATTTAACATAACATATTGACAGATTCCAGAGCTTAGGATGCGGACATCTTTGAGAAGCCATTAGTCTACCTACCTCAGCCAGGAAATCAGAATTTCTGTGAGTGAGACTCAAGAATCTATATTTTTAACAAGTTTCCCAGGTGATTCCTATAAACACTCAGTTTTGTGAATAACTGGTCTGATACCTACTTCTAACTATGACACGTTCTCCCTCCTCTATCACAATCTCCAAAACAACATCATCACTCTCCTCGAGGTCACTGATTATTTTTCACTTATTCAACAAAAGTTTATCAGTGCCTACCGTGTGTTAGGAACTCCTTGAGATGCTAGGAATACAGATAAGACCCCTAGCCCCATGGAATATACCATCTGGTAGGAATTACTTTATATTACTCCCTCTTCACCAACCAATTCCTGTATGTCGGACAGACAAGGTCCTGAATAACAATTCTTCTCATTGCTTCCTCCAAATCATCTGAAAATTGTTCCTAAAAATTGTATAATAAAAGTTTTCCGAAAAAAAATTTCAGATGTAATAGAAATCAGGTTAAACTAGAATTCAGAAAGCCAAGCTTCCATTTCTAATTCAGTCAGTAAATGGCAAGTGACTTCGAGGATATTAAAAGACGTATGAGACTAAATTGCTAAATTCTATGTTAAGAGTTCTTGTTCCTGCCAATTGGCCAATTTTGGGGGAATGATTTCTGACTCTCACCCCCAAAATTAACCCTGGAGAAATTATAGAGGGAAACATGGAATCCAGCAAACGAAAGAAATGAGAAACTCCTAGGAGGGTGATGGATTGTTTTGAATCTGAGGATGGTGTAAGCAAGAGTGATTAAGAAAACGAAAAGAGAGAAGATAATATTATTAATGAATAAGGAGACATTACATAATAAGGCAAAGATTAGTAAGAGAATATTATCAACAATATGCCAATAAATTACAAATTTTAGACAAATTGAAGAAATTTCTCAAAAATATAAACTTACCAAAACTGACTCAAGAAGAAATAGAAAGAACAGTCAAATAACTAGTTTTTTTTAATGAAGCAATAATACATTTGTAAAGCACATATATAAGTGATTAACATCCAGAATATATAAAGAACCTCTATAACTCAATAAAAATAGAACAACCCAGTTCAAAAATGAGTAAAGGATTTAAATAGACATTTATCCAAAGAAGATATAAAAATGGTCAATAAGCACGTGAAAAGATGCTCAACAATCACTAGCCATTAGGGAAACGCAAATCAAAACACAATGAGATACCACTTCACATGCATTAGGATACCTATTATCAAAAAAAAAAAAAAGAAAAGAAAATAACAAGCATTGACAAGGATGTGGAGAAATTGGAACTCTCACGCATTGCTGGTGAGAATGTAAAATGGAACAGCCACTATGGAAAACAGTGCGGTGGTTCCTCAAAAAGTTAAACATAGGGTCTGGCCCCATGGCCTAGCAGCTAAGTTTGGCGTGCTTCACTTCAGCAGCCCGGGTTCAGTCCTCAGGCACAGACCTACACCACGCGTCAGCAGCCATGCTGTGGTGGTGACCCACATACAAAAGAGAGGAAGATTGGCACAGATGTTAGCTCAGGGCAAATCTTCCTCAGCAAAAGAAAAAGTTAAACATAGAATTACCATATGAGCCAGCAATTCCACTATTAGGTATATACCCAAAAGAACTAAAAACAGAGACTCAAAAAGATCATTGCACAGCAATGTTCATAGCAGCATTATTCACAATAGTCAAAAGGTAGTAACAACCCAAATGTCTACCAACAGATGAATGGATAAACAAAACGTGGTATATCCATACAATGGAATCCTTAGCCATAAGAAGGAATGAAATTCTGATACATGCTACAACATGCGTGAACCTTGAAAACACTATGCTAAGCGAAATAAGCCAGACACAAAAGGACAAATACTGTGTGATTCCACTTATATGAAGTACCTAGAATAGACAAATCCATGGAGACACAAGGTAGAACAGAGATTACCAGAGGATGGGGAGGGAGGAATAAGGAGTTATTGTTTAATGGATACAGATTTCAGATTGGGAAGATGAAAAATTTCTGGAAATGGATAGTGGTGATGGTTGCACAATTTTGTGAATGTATTTAACGCCACTGAACCATGCATTTAAAAATGGTTAAAATAGTAAATTTTATGTAATGTATATTTTACCACAATTTTAAATTTTTAATTATAATAAAAGGAAGTAATAATTTTAAAATCTTCCCACAGAAAACATCAAGCCAGGTGACTTACCAGAGGAGTTTTATCAGATTTTTTTTTGTACAGTATTTTCAGTTTTATTCTTAAAATGCACACACAACAAAGACTGTCATTAAGTCATTTCACGTTTCTAGTTGCATTCAGCACTTGTTCTTGAGCATCTTTCTCTGCTTTTACCATCTTAACAAGTTCCTTACGTCATTTCAGGTAGTCCTTTTTGGTCCTGCCAGATACTGTTTCTGCTATTTTTTCCCCATCTTTCAGGTATATTTACTGGATACATTTTCGAAGCTTGTTCCAAAAGCTTCCGTTTTTCTGTTGTCCTGGAGGTGAAATCTATGCACAGACTTTCAAATTGTTCTGAAGGTGTTGTATTGTTGGCTTGAGGCTCTACTCCACGTAACATGTCATCTTTTTGATGAGGGTCAAGTTTCTGGAGGCTCTTCTTTGCCAATAAAATCTTTGGCAGTTCTCTTGACTCCAGAAGAAGAATGTGTGTTCATGTAATTGGCAATAACTTCCCATCTTCGTTCCAGCAAGGAAGAGGCTCACAGCTCTAATTAGTAATTGTAGATCAGTTATCTTCTGACCAATTTCCACCTTCTTCTCTGCATTCTTAGATGTTTGTCACATACAAGCCTCAACTTCCTCTTCCTCTTTTCTAATTTGCTCATTGCTTTCTTCTACCAGTTTACCAAAGGGCCTTCCTACTTCTTTTGTAGAGGATGTATTTTATTTAAGGACCGTAAGCTTTTTCACTTCTCCCATCATTTTTACCTGCTCAATCTCCTTATCAGAAAAGTGATTCCGGGTCTTCCAACGAATTTCAAAGTTTTGCCTTTCTCTTTTTTTATGGAGATATAATTGACATATAACATTATATTCGTTTCAGGTGTACAACATAATGATTTGATATTGCCTTTCCCTTTCAACAGCTTTTTTTCTGGATATCTTTTTCCTCTTTTGCCAACAACACTTGTTGTCTAACTTCCTCTTCTTCTTTCTCCTTAGCTATCCAAGCAGCTTCTAATTCAGCTCATCTCTGGTTTTCTTTAGCCTCTTGCTCCTTCAGTTTTCCTTCTGCTTTAGCTTCCTTCTCTGCTTCTTTCTTGGCTTTTTCTTTTCCTTTGAATTTTTTTATCCTTGCATCACAGCTCTGTGCATTATCAACTGATGTTCTTACTCAGTTCACTTAGCCTTTTATTCTTTTTCGCCCTTGCTGCTCTGTTCTGCTTTTCAATTTCTCTCCTCTCATGGTGACATTCTGCTTTTTTTCCTCTTCATTTAAACAAGAAAATTCTCTCCAAGGATAGAAATTACGCCAGAAGGAATAAAATGCCTCTACATCTTCAAATGATGAACTCATATCACCAAGTTTAGGAACTTTTGTTTTTTTTTGTTTTTTTTTTTTTTTTTTTTTAAAGATTTTATTTATTTAATTTTTTCCCCCCAAAGCCCCAGTAGACAGTTGTATGTCATAGCTGCACATCCTTCTAGTTGCTGTATGTGGGACTCGGCCTCAGGATGGACGGAGAAGTGGTGCCTCTATGCGCACCCGGGATCCGAACCCGGGCCACCAGCATCGCAGCGCGCGCACTTAACCACCAAGCCACAGGGCCGGCCCAGAACTTTTGTTTTTTTATTTGACTATCTGGAATTTCGTTCCAACACGGGGAAAAACGCCCCCCAAAAAATTGTCCTTTGCTTCACTTTTAGAAGGAACTGAGTTATCAAAAGCAAGATCTACACCGTTAAATTCTCCTTTTTACACTGGACAGGACATTTCATAAGCTTTAGTTACACAAGTGAAGTAGTTATTATCTCCTTTTATCGGTTCACAGCTGCTCTCAGTGATGTTTTAAAACATTGCTTTATGAGTTGCTTTGGTCCGTCTCTGTGGAACTTTGTATCTTACATGGCCAAGTTCAAGAAACACACAATGATTCTGGTTCTTCCAGTCTTTGGGATCAAGTGTTTTTGGCATGAGAAACTATCCTAACTGCAAGTCTTCAACTTTTATTTCCTCTGACAACTTTTATTTCCTCTTTCTTATCCTCCAGTTCCAGAGGTCAGTGCATGGTAATGGCAGAGCTCAGGGCCAGCCCTGTGAGCACAGGGGTTCACGTCAGGGGTGGAGGGCACTGAGTGTCTTTCCTGGCTCTACCTCCCAGTCCCAGCCTCGTGTCTCGGCTCTACAAAGCCTAGGAATGAGTGCATGAAGACAGCCAACAACCACATCCTGATGGAGCCTTCCTCATGTCGTCATTTCGTTCATACTTTCAAAAAATAGATCACTTAAATTTTCTACAAACTTTTCCAGAGAATAGAAAAGGGGGGAATACTTCCTTCCCCCTCCCCCCACTCATTCTAAGACCCTAGTCTGACAAGGACAGTAAGAGAAAGGAAAATTACCGTCTATCTTCCTCATGAATATGGCTGCAAAAAATGTTAAACACAATTGTAGCAAACCGAATTTGAGTGTTCAAAAAAAGATAATTATACCATGACCAAGTTGAGTTTATCCTAAGGATACTAGGATAGTTTTATTTTAGAAAATCTAAAAATGTCATCCATCACATTAACACATGGAGGAGGAAAATCTTACAAGTATCTCAATAAATATGTGCAGAAAAAATTTATTTTAAATCCATTAGTAAATTTAAAAAATATCTCCTAGTACTAAAATGAAGAACAGGATTTCCTTAATCTAATCAAAGATATATTTAAAACATATGAAAGTATCAGACTTAATGGGGAAATGTTAGAAACATTCTCTTCCAAAAGAAAACCAAAATCTGGCGCCAACTATCACCACGTCCACCAAGGGTGTATGGTGGTCCTAGGCAACGCAAAAAGGCAAGAAAACGAAATTAACAGGGGCTGGAGTAAGAGGCGGGGGCCAGAGTATATGAAATAGACACACAAGAGGTGTCTGATACAGGCAGTCAAGGAGAAGATGAGGATTAAATCATGCCCTAAAAGGGGCACTAAATGTAAAAGGACGTAATAATTTTAATGAAGTTCTTTTTATATATACATGCTACTCTTTACAATGTTTTTTCAAAGTTAACACGTTTTGTGAATGAACAAAGTAAACAAAATTGGGCCAGATGGTGAAAGCTTTACTTTACGAAAATAGAAATACAATACAAACCTGAATTTTCTTTAGTACCACCGGTGTTTCCTGATCCCAAACGTGGTTAACTCCTCCATCAGTAATATATGCTTTACATGCTGTCACCATTTGATTTGTTACCTAAAATAAATGTAAGTACAAAATAACTATAGGCAAAGAGAGAAATAAAATTTATTTAAGTTTTTTTAAGTCACAAGCATAAAAATATGAGAAATAGTAAACTTATGGAATGAATTGATCACAGAATATAAAAAACAAAGAAATATACATTCCAGTCAAAACAAAGAAAACCCAAGGTCACATTTACCCACTGCATTTAAGTCAATGTCACTGGAGCCATAAATTTCAAAGTCAACTCTATTTTCCTCTTGTCTATTTCTCCTCTAATTAGGCCTTGATCCAGTCCAAGTGTGATTCTTCACCATTCTTTAACACGCAAACTAAATATAAAATTAACCACCTCTCACATCGCCCAAAATAGTGAAAAAAAAAAAACAAGATAGCTATTCAAATCCTCAGGAGGTTACATCAAGATAGCAGGCTGTCACACAGAAATTTTGGAGAATTCCTAAAATATGGAAAGCACACAGGATCAAATCTACAGAAAAAAAAGATTAGAGAAAGCCAGAACCCAGTTCTGAAGAAGCATACTATGAAGGTGGAACATTTACAGGAAATTTTCAAGACAGGAGACGATGTAAGGTGACCCTTGGTTGTGACCCTGCACATTGAATTTGGGGCAACTTGCACAGCAGGCAACAGTGACATAGACTGAAAGGACAAAGCCATGACTATGGACCACAGTCTTGGAGAGGTGTGGCTGTGCCCCAGGTAGCTACTGCACCCTAAGGGGACATATCAGAGAATCATCAGAGAATTCACATTCCCCTCCCAACAGTAAGTCACACCTATCCCCCACAGGAGACAGACTACAATAAACAGGATAGGAAAGCAAATTAGGAGACCCAAACACAAAGATGGGCAGACAACCAAGAATCATCACACAACTGAAGAAATCAAACATGGTTACAGAGGCATTAAACTCAATAAAGAGGAAATACAGAAAAGATACAAGTAAAATCTTTTAAAATATTTTTTGTTAACTAAATTAATTCAGGAGAAATATATGAGAGGTTTTTACAACATGAAAAGAAAACAACTAGAGAGCTTGGAATTTGAAATTTTTATCGTCAAAATAAGAGAATTCTATTGATGAACTGACTGACAATTGGACGTAAATGAAGAGCAAATAAGTGAGCTAAAAGGTCAAAGGACAAAGATGGAGCAAAAAAAAAGTTAGGAGAAATGGAAGTCAGATTCAAGGGGAGAGAATAAATTGAACAGGTGTGTAAGGAATAAACAAGGCAAAAGAGGAAAATTTCCCAGGAATGAAGAGTAATGAAAGTCTTTGGATTGAAACAACCAAGTGTGGGGGATCAGAATTGGTCATCCCAAAATGTGTCTCTTTGGTTAAGGACAAAAGACTCGGAAATAAACTTTGACCTTCCCCCTAACTGCCTAAAAGAAATTTAAGACAGAAGGCCTGTCCCCAGGACAAGCCATCACCGTAGATAACTCTGCGTATCAGTAGACTGTGAGGGTCCTTGCTAAGCCTATGCTTATCAAAGTCCTGTCTACCAAACATTTGCTTTTCCATTTCCATGTGAATTGCTTTCAACCCTTTGAAGTCCCAAACCACCACCCACAACATCCTCCTTTGTCTTTAGCTGAAGATGATATTTAAGGTGGCAGCTTTAGCCATTCTGGCGAGTTACTCAGTTTTCCTAGGTTTCTCCCATGTATACATGTTATTAAACTTTGTTTGATTTTCTCCTGTTATTCTGTCTCATGTCAACTTAATTTGTAGCCCAGCCAGAAAGGACTCACAGTGGGTAGAGGAAAGTCTTCCTCTCCTTCAGTTTGGCGATGAGGATGGGATAAAAAATTCACTGGCTGGATGCTCTTCATTCCTGGACTACTGCAGCTGAGAGATCCTGGACTCCTGACAAGAGCCAGCAGGAGGTAAGAGTTCTTACCACGTCAGTCTCCCGGATCTCTGCCTGCCGGGTCCAATGGAAGCGAGAGCAGTGAGGTTTTCTTCCTTTTCTAAATTTAGATTAGCAGGAGAAAATATTGGTGAAGCTAGCTTCTTGGACTCAGAGATTCCGGGAAATTTGGTTTGAGTACTCGTTGGTTTATTGATCTTTTTCCTCCCAGAGATGGTCACTACTTTTCCTTGTTCTGTCTTCTGTGTCATTAGTCATCAAAAGAAAAAACCATAGGGCAAGACAAAGGCATCACTATAAGCCTATTGTCTGGGCCGGTCCCGCAGTAAACTTTCCCATGGATTATGACGGTTTTTTTTTTCTTTTGTCTTGTTCTGCGTCTTGAGAGCTTGGCTTTGTGACCTCTTCGGTCTTCGCCATCCAGAGGATGCACATACTGGCATACATCTTGGCAGCCAGTCAAATAGACTGGGTTCTGAGATGTACTCTCTTTGTCCAGCTGTGTCAGCTCTCAGGGGAGTTTGTCATATGGGGTCCCAACTGCTTTCATTAGGGGCCTTTGTCATTTCAACCTTGGTTGCTTGTTAGTGAACTCTGCCTGTGCAATGAAGGCCTTTGCCTTCTTAGACTATTTTTGGGAGTGAACTTTCTGGATCTTGTGAGGGCTGCACCTTTTTGCACTCTGTTTTGGGGATGCCTCTTGTGTCCATGGTTAAGCTGTAAAAGGCTTATTGGTTGGAGTCTCTATTAAGATCCTACTCATCAATGTGGCCAGAAAAAAACTTTGAGAGCTCTCGTCATAATTGTTTTATTAGTACCTATAAAAAGACTAAATTAAAAAGAAAATACAGGGCCGGCCCCGTGGCTTAGCGGTTAAGTGCGTGCGCTCCGCTACTGGCGGCCCTGGTTCGGATCCTGGGCGCGCACCAAGGCACTGCTTCTCCAGCCATGCTGAGGTCGCGTCCCACATACAGCAACTAGAAGGATGTGCAGCTATGACATACAGCTATCTACTGGGGCTTTGGAGGAAAAATAAATAAATAAAATTATTAAAAAAAAAAAGAAAATACAAAACAATAATGATTAGCATAAAGACCCTGACTCAGGCTACAATTAAACTGAAAAAATGGAAAAGTACAAGTATTGATAAGATTATAAAGGTTAGAATGTTTGAGCTAATTTTATGTAAAGAGGTTATATCAACTTTGTCTGAATGGGTTTTGAAAATGCACATTATGTCTGGCTGTGAATGCTTCCTCTATCCAAAATTATAAGACCAAGACCTATTGATAAAGTCCTAATGAAAACTGTGATTAGAGGTATAAGAGTTGATGGAATTAAGTGATTACATATCTTTTGCATGATTGTATTATAAATTGTACTGTGGAGATAGACATTGTGTCTCACTGGGAACGTTTCCCTTGCTTGATTGTAAGACAGCATATAAATCTGCCCTTCAGACAATGTTAATTAAACATACTAAAGAGAAGTCAATAGGGTTGCCTCATCCCCCACACTAGCAAGTATAGAACAAGATTAATATAGAAAGAACCACATCACTTTGAAATTTTAGAAGTTCAAGGATAAAGAAAAAAATGCTAAAAGCTTCCTGGGAGAATAAAACAGGTTTCCTACAAAGGAAAAACAACCCTATTAGCATCAAATTTCTCATCAACAATACTGGATAGTAGACAAGAATATCTTCAAAGTACCAGGAGAAAATTATATTGAACTTAGAATCCCAGTCAAACTAATATTTGAGTGGTAGGACAAATTGAACTATCAGACATGCAGGAATTCAGGAAGTTTACCACACACGGACCTTGTTTGAAAGAATTACTCGAGAATTTTCTTCAGCAAAAGAAATAGTGAATCTAGGATGGAGGAAGATACAGAAATCACAAAACAGAGGTGATCAAAGAAACTAACAATACTTAGATTTTAGTCTGAATACTTGTTGATTCATAATGTTGAAAAAATATTAACAATAATATGGAACTAGAAATCTCAACATGGGATGTACACAGCAAGGAGAGAGACAGGCGACAGGGAAGAATCCTAAGGTTCTCGCCTCTTTTAGGACATAATGATTTAATCTATCCTTTGATTTAAAAAAAAAAAGTTGAAATATGCCTGTTACTTTGTGTATTTATGTTTGCTTGAGTCATTTACAAAGAAATTCTATTCATGTGTTTCTTGGATGATTTTCCAGATTATTTAAAATAATAACCATACAGCACTACGCAGGAAGATTTTACACAAAGCACAGTGCTGTTGGGAGTAGCTAAAGAAGCATTGTTAATAGTGGACACAATTCTTAGCTCTTAAGCAAAACTATTTGGAATGAATAAATTAGAAAACCACTAGCTACATTTAAACAAAAAGGCTGAGGGCCTACCTCTAACAAGGATAAAGGTATCCGTTTCAATCAGGTATCATTTCAACCAAACATATTATTGCTCTCAACTCATTATACTACCTTTATTTAGAGGTCTGTGGAAGGTATTAGCTACAACTGACTCCAGTCAACACCTTTCTTTTCTAGTCCACTGGAAGCACTAAAATCCAGAACTCAGAGAGGCGCCCACACTTCCCATTTCCCCTCTCTGACTCAGAGGGAAAACACTGTCAACTTTTTCACATGGTCACATGTGTGATTTCTTCCCTTGGAAACTCACCTTGATAAACAATGAGGTCATTCTCTCTGAGGTATTATAATATCTTGACACACCGTGAATCATCCTGATGGCATTAATCAAATTTTGTATTCCATGTGCCATGGAAACCTAAAATTTAAATATATTAAATGAATTCCATCATGTGTTTATAGTTTCAATAGCCAATATCCTACGGCTTATTCAAAACTCTAAATATATATAAAATTGTATAACATTTTAATCTTAAAGTCAAATTTTACTAAGTGCAACATGGTATCCTAGATTGGATCCTGGAACAGAAAAAAGGATTAGTTTTGACAAATGTATCAAGGCAACGCAAGATATTAAAAGGGGAAACTGGGTGAAGAGAATTCTGTGCTACCATTGCAATTTTTCTGTATACATCTAAACTTAAAAGTTTGTTTGAAAATAAAATTTTAGAGGTGAAAGTCATTTTAAAGACTACTAGTTGAAGCTGCTCTTTTTAAAGATAAAGAAACTGATACCTTCAGATGTAAAGTGACTTACTTATGGTCAGAAAGCTGGTTAAAAGCAAAGATCAGACTAGAACTCATTTTCACCTAATTCAATTCAGCAAACCTACTAAGCGCCTTTAGGTTCTGAGGATACTGGGAGAAATGCAAATATAAGGAATCTATTCTGGAGGAGGTTACAGCAGACCGGAAGGGACACACACAAACAAGTGAAACAAATAGAACAGTGCAGAGCAAAGCAGAACAAGAGCAACTGGGATACAAAAGAATCGCTAATATATACTGAATGCCTAGTGCCAGGCACTAGGTAAGCACTTCACACATCATCTTAATATATGCTGACAGCAAACATTTAAGGTATTTTCATTTCATCAGATCTAAAACATCACTGATTATAAGATTGCATAGTTCTTTTTTGTGTGTGTGTGAGGAGATCAGCCCTGTGCTAACGTCTGCCAATCCTCCTCTTTTTTTTTTTTTTTGCTGAGGAAGACTGGCCCTGGGCTAACATCGTGCCCATCTTCCTCCACTTTATATGGGACGCCTCCACAGCACGGCCTGCCAAGCAGTGCGTTGGTGCTCACCCGGGATTCGAACCGGAGAACCCCTGGCCACCACAGCAGAGCGCGCACACCTAACCTCTTGCGCCACTGGGCCAGCCCAAGATTGCACAGTTCTTTATGTGCTACTGAGAAAGGGAAAAAAATGCCCAAGATGGGGAGTCTAACTCCCACAGAAAACTAAGCCCCCAACGGGCTACACCCCTTCTGTGAAGACAAGCATGAAATAAACAAGCCATGGAGAAAAGATAGAACACAACTTCCATGTCCCAATTCTGCTCCTTGGGGAGGAGGGGAAATAAACTCCACTGAGAATGTGTACCACAAGCTGGTACTCACTCACTGCAGTCTGAATTCACACCAATGGTACCAAAAACAAACAAAACAAACACTATCCCTCAAGGAGAGAACTAATAATTTAAAATAGTGTCAAGTCACGTCCACAATGATTCATAAAACTCAACGGACTGTAAGGTGTGCTCTGAGTACAGAGATGTTAAAATGTGTGTCTTAGAATCTATAAAATAACGTATTATGATGATTCTCATTTTTCAAATGAGAAAATAGAGAGATAGGGACGTTAAGTGCCTTGTCCAAGGTCCCACAGCTGCAACATAACCATAGTTATGGGCCTGAGATTTTGAGAACCTGCTTTTAACCAGGATGTAAATCACGATGGAAGGACAGATAAGGTCAGTGGCATTCCTGCCCTCAAGGAGTTAGGACAATATAAAATGTATAAAGAGATTTTTTTAATGGTGATGGATTAAATAAAACAGGGAAGAACAACTACTGATTTGTGTACCATATGTCCTAGGTATGAGGTGTAACTATGACATAATTAAATCAATTTTATGTGGCTTATGGAAATTGACATCATTACTTTGTAGTTAACCTTGCATGTCAATTCATATTATATGTTATCTGTAGATCAAAAAGATTCTAATAAAAATATGCCTAGAAGGAGTGCCTTCCACCCTCAGTAAGGCAAGTTTATAAAGTACCCCTAACACCAATGAAGAAGGCTTAGGGATAGTATCAAATGCGTCCATCAGGAAAAGCCCCTTTATCCAAATTTTAATCATCATTATTTAAAATAGTAGCTCCTTGAGTATGCAGTTCTTACCTATCTATACATAGTGTTCAGACATTTTATATGTGAAATATATAATTGTATATATGCCTAAAGCACAATACCAGGATGATGAAAAGAAGCATTAAACACAAAATTCATAAACTTTATCAATGAGAAATGGAAGCATGAGTCCTCTGCACTTTTTCCTGCTCAAATAACAGTTACAAATTAAACAAAAATTGCTGGTTGCTTTTAATGAGAATAAAGAAAATGAGAAAAAAAGAATTTGTGAAACTATAGAAATTGTGAGTGTATGAGGCGGAAGAAATTATATGACTCAACACTATTAGCAATTCTTTAATTTCAAAAGATAACATTTGAAACGTTCCTACACCAGAGAATATAAAAAGCTCAACAACAGCAAAATACTGTTACTAATAATAAGGTACATCCACGGCTAGAGCAATTGAACAAAGTTTTTTAAATAACTAGCATGAAAAGAACACCAGAACTAAACGATTTGAAAATTATATGAATTTAAACAAGTCTTTTGAACCAAGAAGTTGAAATTAGTATACCTTAAATTTTAGAGGTCTTTATAACAATAAAAAGCATTTTATCTTTCAAGTTTACTTTTTGTAATGAAAAGCTTTAAATACATAGAAAAGTACAGAGACTATAATGACCACGTATATCCATTACTAGATTTGACAAATGTTAACATTTTGCTCTATTCACTTCATCTATTATTTTTTACATCAAGAGCTACTTGCAGGTAGTCCTTCTAGAGGAGTCTTTAGGTATATGTGTATTTAATATCTGCATCTTCAACTCTTGTAAGTAACCCCAACTTTTCTTATACATAAATTTTAAATGCACATGTTTTAAGCTAGAGAATCAAGTCACTGAGCTACTGAGTGAGCCAGGCACAGGCCGTATTTCTCTATCACCATACAATTTGGTTTTCTTTACTCCTGATCATACACAGAAACACCTAAACAGTGAGATAAAGTTTCTTATGTGAAACAAATTTTAAATATTCCCAACAGAAGTCCACTTGCTGGTGCTAGGGATAGAAGTGAACAGAGAGTAAAGTTTTAAAAAGTCATAATTCTTTCCAAATAACAACTAGTTTTAAATAAATTAAAGTCCATCATCTTATCATGGAATCAATCAAAAGACTATGTCTGAAAAGTCTTCCTATCTTCTCTCATGGTGCTTCCTGATGGATGATGGATTCCCACACGGCAGTAAGAATTGCACCTGCCCACGACTCTCAACCCCACATCTTTCCCTCCCCATCCACATTAAACTCGTTGGTTACTGGTGCCCTCTTGGGATGGGTATAAACTGCCCCTACACGTCCCTCTTCTCTAAATCTAAGTGAAATGAGATATAGACTCTTCCCCTTTCCCTGCCTCTAGGATGAATCTAGCATTTGCCCCCAAAAGTTTGGTCAACCAAGCCATATGGTCAATGGTGTCATTTATGTGGAGGATTTGACTATCTCTTCAAAAACCAGACTGGAGAACGCTGAACATGTGTATCAGACACTAATATAAATTATTCTGAGAGCATTTTAACTTAGAGAACACCATGAAGAAGCCGCAGAGTGAAGTGGGAAAAAAATACAACTCATAACACCAAAGAGTGCTGGACTCACATTTGGTCCCATTACTTACAGTTGTAGAAATGCTCAAACAAGGTCTCCTAATCTTTAAAATGAGGATCGTTTGCAAACAGAATGAAAATGTTTCCAGAAATGGAAACTATGTAGTACCATAAAAGGCTAGGGATTCTCAAGACTGTAGTCGTCTTTAAAAATACAACTGTCTGGGCAAGTCTCCTGCCTAACAGTGACCCACAAAAAAGGCAACACCCAGTCAAAACTGGGAAACACTGCCCTAAGTTCTCAACAAATACTAGTTCCCTTGACTTCTCTCTATCTAAAGAAAGGATAGTTTTCTTTAATTTTCATATTTCATAGGAAATATTATGAAATGCCAGATAATCTATGAATAAAAATTAAAACAAACTTTAGAAAAATAAAAGCAAATGGGAGTGCTAATATGTTCTTCAAAGGAACTCTACAGAACTATTATGAGAAAAGTAGGCTAGAAACTAGAAGATGGGTCCCGTCCTGCATCACTGATTACCTGAGTGATGCTGGCCAAGTCACTATGCCTTGATGAGTTTTGGTTTCCTAATCTGTAAACTGGGAAATATCTAGGCAGCTTCTAAGACGGCCCCCCAAAATGCTCACCCTCGTGGTATTCATATCCTTCTATAATCTCCTTCTCCTGAGTGTTCACTGGCCTTCCTGGCTTGCTTCTAACGAACAGAATACCACAGAAGTGATGTGATGTCACTTGTGAGATTAGTTTACAAAAAGACGGTGGCTTCCAACTTGGGCACTCTCCTATTTTTTTTTTTAAGTCAATATTACTTTATTTAGATCAATTTCCTTGGCCACTAAAACATTTTTCTAAAAACAATACAGTTAGTTAACACCTCCATCATCTCACATAATTACCATTTTTTGTGTGTGGTGAGAAAATTTAAGATTTACTCTTTTAGCAACTTTAAAATATATAATACAGTATTGTTAACTATAGCCACCATGTTGTATGTTCGATCCCCCCAAATTATTCATCTTATCATGATTAGTGATGTTGAGCATCTTTTCTTGTACCTGTGGACTGTGTGTATGTCTTCTTTGGAAAAGTATCTATTCAGTTCCTCTGCCCATTTTTTATTGGATTGTTTGTTTTTTTGCTATTGAGTTGTATGAGTTCCTTATATATTTTAGATATTAACCTCTTACTAGATATGTGGTTTGCAGATATTTTCTCCCATTCCATAGGTTGCTTTCATTTTGTTGATTGTTTCTTTTGCTGTGCAGAAGCTTTTTAGTTTGATGTAGTCCCATTTGTTGATTTTTGCTTTTCTTGCTTGTGATTTTGGTATCATGTCCAAAAAATTGCCAAGACCAATGTCAAGGAGCTTTTTCCGTATGTTTTCTTCTAGGAGTTTGAGAGTTTCAGGTCTTACATTTAAGTTTTTAATCCCTTTTGAGTTATTTTTTGTGTATAAGATGGGGGTTCAATTTCATTCTTCTACATGTGATTATCCAGTTCTCCCAACACCATTTATTAAAGAAATTATCCTTTCCTCACTGGATATTCTTGGCTCCCTGTCAAAGTGTAGTTAACCATACATGCAAGGGTTTATTTCTGGGCTTTCAATTCTGTTCCATTGGTCTATGTGTCTGTTTTTATGCCAGTATCATACTGTTTTGATTACTATAGCTGTGTAGCATAGTTTGAAATCAGGAAGAGTGTTGCCTCCAGCTTTGTTTGTCTTTCTAAGGTTATTGGAGTCTTTTGTGGTTCCATGCAAATTTTAGGATTCTTCTATTATTGTGAAAAATTTCATTGGAATTTTAATAGGAATTGCATTGAATCTATAGATGGCTTTGTGTAGTATGGACATTTTAATAATATTCACTCTTCCAATCTATCAACATGGAATATCTTTCCACTTGTTCATGTCTTCTTCCGTTTCTTTCATCAAAGTCTTATAGTTTTCAGTGTGTAGAACTTTCACCTCCTTGGTTAAATTATTCTTAAGTATTTTATTGGTTTTGATGCTACTGTAAATGAGACCTTTTGTCTTTTTCAGATGTTTCATTGTTAGTGTATAGAAACCCAACAGATTTCTGTATGCTGATTTTGTATCCTGCAGTTTTACTGAATTCATTGATTAGTTCTAACAGTTTTTTTTGGTGGCATCTTTAGAGTTTTCTATATATAATATCATATCTGCAAACAGAGACAATTTTACTTCTTCAATTCTGATTTTGATGCCTTTTATTACTTTTTCTTGCCTAACTGCTCTGACTAGGACTTCCAGTACTATGTTGAACAGGAGTGGTGGGAGTGGGCACCCTTGTGTTGCTCCTGATCTTAGAGGAAAAGCTTTCAACTATTCACCATTATGATATGAGCTGTGGGTTTGTCATATATGGCCTTTAGTATGTTGAGGTATGTTCCTTCTATACCCAATTTGTTGAGAGTTTTTATCGTGAAATGATGTTGTATTTTGTCAAATGCTTTTTCTGCATCTATTGAAATGATCGTATGATTTTTATCTTTCATCCTAGTAATGCAGTATATCATATTTACTTATTGGCATATGTTGAACCATTTTTGCCTCCCAGGAATAAATCCCACTTGATGATGGTGTATGATTCTTTTAATGTGTTGTTGAATTTGCTTTGCTAGTACTTTGTTGAGAATTTCTGCATCTATATTCATCAGGGATATTGGCCTGTACTTTTCTTTTCTTGTAGCATCCTTATCTGGCTTTGGTATCAGCGTAATGCTGGTTGGGTTGGGCACTCTCTCTTGCTCACTCTTGGGTCATTCACCCTAGGGAAAATGAGCTGCCCTGTGGAGAAGCCTATGTGGTGTGGGACAGAGGCCTGCCAACAGCCATGTGAGTGAGCTTAGAAGTGAACCTTCCACCAGTCAGCCTCCCTTTTGGATGAGACTACATCCCCAACTAACATTTTATCTGCAACCTCATGAGAGACATTGAAGCACTCAGCTAAGTTGTGCCTGGATTCCTGACCTACAGAAACTGTGATATAATAAATGCCTATTGTTTTAAGCCACTGCAGCAATGGATAACTAATATATTTGTCTTGCTCAATTCACAAATGAGATTCTACTTATGATAATGCTATATATTTAAATGTGGGTTAAAATAATATAGTTTATAATTAATTATAGATATATAATAGGAAATATATCTTATAAATAACTTTTCTGAAATATAAGATTTTCCCAATACACACATACTAAAGTTATCTTAAAATGCATTAATATTTTAAACTACAATTTAAAAAGCATACTTACTAGGTCATAGTTATAGAGAGGTTGACATACTTTTTCTAGAGTGTACAAATATCTGACATTATCCTTTGATTCATTTGCTGTATCAGTGATTCTTGCATCTAAATCACGCCAATTCTAAGAAAAAAATGTATAAGAATTCTATGACACATCCAAATATATCAGTGTGCTAAAGTTTAATCAAGAAATTCAAGCTATCTTTCCTAATCATACATATACTAAAAGAGCAGAAATTTAAACGTGATTGATATATTTTTTCTTATATTATTTAAGACAAAGTTATTATAAACAACTTAAACAAAAGCTCATTCCATCTGTAATTAACATCCTGTCTGTAGACTTGAATCAGATCTACTTCTACCTGGAGTGACTTTTCTAGGTTAGTTATTTGTGACATTACATTACTCTGGGTCTTCAAGAATGGGTCAGGGTTATTAAAACAGATCATTACTCCAAGAAAATATTCCTATCAGCAAAGTGAACTTTTCATATCCAGCAAGAAAGTGCAGAGATGCTCAGGCACCATGGCGGATTGCCCCACCCAACATATATAACAATTGATTTATAGCCATAGTAATAAAGAACTCCTAGAATCGGTACCAAATAATATCTGAATTTTTTTAAATGGGGGAAAGATATAAACAGACAATTCACAGGAAAAGAAATGCAAATAGCCAATAAACTTTAAAAGATGCACAAATTCACTATGAATAAGCAAAAGACAAAATACAATAAGCCATTTTCCACATGTCAGATTGGCAAAAAAAAAATTTTTTTTAACTCATAATAATAAGTATTGACAAAATTGTGGAGCATACACCCTAGGGAAATACTTGCATGTATGCATATAGAAGCTTCAACTGCAGCAATGTTTGTGAACATATAGAAAAGGAACAATTTTCCTCAAAAAGTAAAATATAGAGTAGTTACCATTTGACCCAGAAATTCCACTCCTAAGTACATACCAAGAAAAATGGCAACATATGTCCATACAAAAACTTGTACAAGAATGTTCATAGCAGCATTATTCATAAGAGCCAAAAAGTGGAAACACCAAATGTCCATAAAGTAATAACAAAATGTGATATTATCAACACAATGGAATATTATTCAGCCATGAAAAGGAATGAGTACTGTTCCATGCTACAACAAAGATAAACCTTGAAAACATTATGCTAAGTGAAAGAAGCCAGTAACAAAAGACCTCATATTATATGATTCCATTTATATGAAATGTCCAAAATAGGCAAATCTATAGAGATAAAAAATAGACTGATGGTTACTTAGGGCTGGGGTGGGGAAGGGGAACAGGTGGAGATGGGAGGTGATAGCTAAAGGGTACAGGTTTTCTTTTTGAGGTGATGAAAATGTTCTAAAATTGATTGTGGAGATGTGCACAACTCTGTGAATATACTAAAAACCACTAAATTGTACACTTTAAATGGGAGAAATGAATAGTATGTGAATTATATCTCAAGACTGTTTAAAAAAAAAGGAAACAATTTGACTGTCTAAAAACAGGAAAATAATTAGATAAAATTGCTGTATTAACCTGGTACATTAACATTTTGGAAAACTACACAGCTCGATCTGACAGGCATAACTGCAAGATATGTTATTGGGAGGAGAGGGAGTTGATGAATAATACAGTATGACACTATGTAATAAAAAAATTAGAAACACAAAACTATGTAATTTCATATGTACTTAGCATATTTGTATATAAATGCCATAGGAAATATATTAAAAAAAACAATCAGGGTCCGGCCTGGTGGCACAAGCGGTTAAGTGCGCGCGCTCTGCTTTGGCAGCCCAGGGTTCACAGGGTCGGATCCCGGGCATGCACCGATGCACCACTTGGTAAGCCATGCTGTGGCGACGTCCCTTATAAAGTAGAGGAAGACGGGTACGGATGTTAGCTCAGGGCCACTCTTCCTCAAGAAAAAAAGGGAGGATTGGCATCAGATGTTAGCTCAGGGCTAGTCCTCCTCACAAAAAAAAAAAAAACAGAAAACTATGGTTGTCTCTATTTGCTTATCATTCAGGAATAGGAGTTACAGGGTGGTAGGCTGTGTAATTAAGAGAGACTTGTTTCATCTGTACTGTTTAAATCTTTTATTAAAAAAAAAAGTATTCATGCATTATTTGTATTATATACTTTTTTTCTAAAGGAAAAATAAAGAAAAAAAAAAACAAGGGCCAGTCCTGTGGCATAGTGGTTAAGTTCAGCACGGTCCACTTCAGTGGCCTCGGTTCATGGGTTCAGACCTACACCACTCATCAGCACACTGCGGCAGCGACCCACATATAAAGTAGAGGAAGACTGCCACAGATGTTAGCTCAGGGCCAATTTTCCTCAAGCAAAAAAATGAGGAAAGTTGCCAACAGATGTTAGCTCAGGGCTAATCTTCCTCAGCAAAAAAAAAAAGGAAAAAAATGGAAGAAAGAAAGAAAAAGAAAGGAACCTGGAAAGAATCAAGCCAAGCTGTTAGTAAAGATGACCTCTGGGAAAGAAGTGGAATGGTGGGAATGAGATGTAGGATGAGAGGGCATTTTTGCTTTTGACTTTCTATGTAGTTCTTTACCTCAATGAGCCTCTACTGATTTACAATTTCAAAAACAATTTTCAAATAAATGGCAATCATCCCATATTAGTACTGTCAAAATTGGTGTGAGAAATAAATCTTCATTTCTATACTTCCTTTTCCTCTTCTGGAAATAATCGTGGAATATGAGAAAGCCTTACTCAAAGTTTAACATTTCTAAATACAAGAGTCCAGTATATGATGCAAAGAAGCAGTTCAAGAAGGATAATTTTCCAGGTGGTTGTTCTGAAGTATACTAAACTTTAAAATAAAAGGCCTTTTACCTTTAACAGTTTGGAATGTGCAACATTAAGCACATTTATGACAGCCTTACAACTTGGCCCTTTAATCTGTTCAATGATGTAATTGAATTTGGCTGACATGCGTTTCCAGTGTTCCAATTCGGTGAGTGGACCTGAGTCATCAGCTTCTTTTCTCATCTGTTCACTCTCAATAAGTACCTGCAATCAAAAAAATCCACAGAACGTAGAAATGTTACTTTCCTCTTTGATAAAACCTCATTATTTGTATCTTTACAAAGAAAGCTAAAAGTGTAAATAACATTCAACACCGAACAATGTTAAAAACTCTTAGCAAACTAGGAGTAGAAGGGACCTTCTTTAACATGATAAATAGTATCTACCAAAAATCTACAGCAAACATCATCCTTAAAGATGAAATTTTAGAAAATATCACTTTAAACCCAAGGACAAGTTTGCCACTATTACCACCCACTTCTATTCAACCTCGTAATGGAGGTCCCAGAACAAGATAAGTAAGGCAAGCAAAAGGTACAAAAATTGAAAATGAAAAAACAAAATGGCATAATCACAAATGATATGGTTGCCACATTTAAAAAAATTCAAGAATACCTGGAGACAAACTTTTACAATTAATAAAAGTGAACAATTCACTAAAGTTGCTGGATATATACATAAATATTAGTAGCATTTCTTTACAAGCCATCTAACAATCTGAAAATGTAACTTCTAAAAGGGTAGCATTTACTATAACAAATAATAACAATGATAAGATATCTAGACATTAACATAAGATGTGCAAAATTTCTTTGGAGAAAGTTTAAAAAGCTACTTTCAGCACACAAAAGAAGACCTAAATAAATGGAGAGATATACCATGTTCATGGATGGAAAAGTTTAACAATATAAAGATGGCAATTTTCTCTAAATTAATGTATGCATTCAATGAAATTTCAATCAAAATCTCCACAGAGTTTTTCATGATACTTTAAAAACTAGTCTTAAAATTAATTTGGAAGAAAAATTGACCAGAAATAATCAATGCAATTTTGAAAGGGACTTGCCATAGCAAATGTTGATTTAGTAAAAAGCTACAGAAATTAAAGCAGCATGGTATGAGTACAAAAAACAAATAAGTAGACCAATGGGATAGATAAAGGAGTCTATAAACCTGATATATTACAGAGGTGATATTATAAATTTGATGGAAAGAATGGACTATTAAATAAACAGTTCTGGGACAATTGGCTACCTATACGAAAAAAGACAAAATTAGATTTCTACCTCACATTATACACATACCCAAAAACAATTCCAGATGGATTAAAAACCTAAATGTTAAAAATAAAATGGTGGGGCCGGCCCCATGGCTTAGCGGTTAAGTGTCCGCACTCCGATACTGGCGGCCCGGGTTCGGATCCCGGGCGCGCACCGATGCACCACTTCTCGGGCCATGCTGAGGCTGCATCCCACATACAGCAACTAGAAGGATGTGCAACTATGACATAGAACTATCTGCTGGGACTTTGGGGAAAAAAGAGGAGGAGGATTGGTGATGGATGTTAGCTCAGGGCTGATCTTCCTCACAAAAACAAATAAAATAAATAAAATAAAATAAAATGGTAAAACTTTTAAAGAAAAATACAGGAGACGGGTAAAACTATAAAGAAAAGCATGGAGTTGAATATCATAATTGTCAAGAAAGTGGTTACTACTAGGGGGAAGAAATAGGAGTTAAAATTTGGAAGAGGAATGCAGGGGGATTGTAAGGTGTTGGTAATGTTCTATTTCTTAACTTGTGCAAAGGTTATACAGGTGTTTATTTTGCAATAATTTATTTCTTTTTTTGTATTCATTTTTGTATATTTTACTATGTAAAATAAATAAATAATTTTGGGGCCGGCCCAGTGGTGCAAGCGGTTGGGTGCGCACGCTCTGCTGCGGTGGCCCGGGGTTCGCCGGTTCGGATCCCGGGTGTGCAGGGACGCACTGCCTATCAAGCCATGCTGTGGCAGCATCCCATATAAAGTAGAGGAAGATGGGCATGGATGTTAGCCCAGGGCCAGTCTTTCTCAGCAAAAAAAAGAGGAGGATTTGCAGATGTTAGCTCAGGGCCGATCTTCCTCATAAATTAATTAATTAATTAATTTAATTAAATAAATAAATAATTTAGGAGAATATCTTCCTAACACTGGAATAGGAAAGGGTTTTCTAAATAAAATTTAAAAAAGCACAAATTCCCTAGTCACTGAAGGTAGCTAAATTGAGGTTGGATTACCATTTGTAACTAATATATTTACACTAAAATGTAAAACTTGCACAAGATTAAGGACACTATACCAAATGAAAATGCAGGACACAGTGGGGACCAACAAAGGATTAATATCCAGATAATATTACTTAAAATCCACCAATTCAGTAGGATATCAAGGAATCTGAAAGAAAACTAAGTAAAGGATATTAACAGGCAATTCGACAAAGAGGAAACCTAAACAGCCATTAAATATGCTCAACCTCAGGGCCGGCCCCGTGGCTTAGCGGTTAAGTGTGCGCGCTCTGCTGCTGGCGGCCCGGGTTCGGATCTCGGGCGCGCACCGACGCACCACTTCTCCAGCCATGCTGAGGCCGCGTCCCACATACAGCAACTAGAAGGATGTGCAACTATGACATACAACTATCTACTGGGGCTTTGGGGGAAATAAATAAATAAAAATTAAAAAAAAAAAAAATATGCTCAACCTCAATGGTACTCAGGGTAATGCGAAATAAATCAAGACACCACTCCACACCCAACATACTGGCAATGATTAACAATCTGGCAATCCCAAGAGTAACGAAAGATTTGAAGAAATGGGAACTCTCACATGCTTCTGTAAAAAAACATATTAATATAACCACTATTTAGAGGGCTTTGTGATACCCTCTTAATAAAAGATCCATATACTACTACTCCCAGCAATTCCACTGAGAAACTCTTGAACATGTGCAAAGGAGACCTGAACAAAGACATTCATTGAACGTGTACTATTATTGTTTTGTAATAGTAAAAAAAGTAGAAACAACTGTCTTTCAGAGGGAATGGAGGAATAAACTTCTCTACCTCCTTAAACAAAGGATACTAGACACAATTTAAATGTCTGAAAATCTATGTAATAAACTGATTCTTCATAGAGGACTACTAGCCAGCAGTTAAGTGAATGAATTAAATTTACTTGTATCAACATGGAAGAAAGACAATGTTAAATGAGAAAACAAAAGCTCTAAAAGGATGCTTAATGGTATACCATTTATGTAAAGATTTTAAACACAAATACATATTTTGTATTTATATATACACTTTATATATATTATAAATATGCAAATGCAATAAAAATGTAAAACTTTGGAGGGAGTGAGAGGAGACAACGTCAGAACAGTGATACAGAAGGAGGAAAGGGTTGGAAGCTTTCATGAAAACGGCAAATGGTTACTATCTGTTTAATCTCAGTGGTAGTTACAGGGGTGTTTGTTATATTATTTTCTGTACTTTTTTATGTTTATAACTTTTCATAACTTAAATTGTAATAGAATTTTTAAGAACACAAATGAGATAAAACATATAGTTGATTTTTCAAACCTATGAAGGTTCTATCTTTAATCTATGAAATGCTTTTAGTTTTAACGATGGTTTATGGAACTCTTTCCTAACCTTCTTACAAGCTTCTCCATCTCCTTAAATAGAGGATACTAGACATAATTTAAACTTTTCCTAAATGGCTGAAAGTCTATATAATTTAAGTCACTTTTGATGTTTAATTCCCATTATATCATCACTCAGATGATAATCCAGCCTCAAACTAGATACTTCCAGAGATGCAGCACATTCCATTTTCAGGGGGAAAAAATACTGTGAGAAGACTATCCTGATTTCAAGATACAATCTCTCTCCTTATAATCATCACACTCGCTCTGGTCTTACTTCTGCCTTCTAGGGACATGCAGTGCAGGTTTAATTTCACATGAAATCCCATCAAATATTTGAAGATGTAATGTCACTCCCAAATCCTCTTTTTTTCCAGGTCAAACATCTCCATGTACTTTCCTTGAATAGCATCGTTCATATCCTTGACCATTTTTCTCTGAATTGCCCATTTCTTAATGATTTATAGAAGTTCTTCATATATTATGGATACTAACTCTTTAGTATATATGCTGATAATATTTTCTCCCAGAAGGTCATTTACCTTTTAACTTTGTTTATGGTGGTTTTTGCCATATGGAAGTTAGGAATTTTTCTTTTTTAATGTAGTCAAATTTGTCAGTTGTTTCTTTCATGGCTTCTGGGTTTTGCATCTTGCTTAAGAAGATATTAACATAGTCCTACATAATGTTCTGGTTCATTTATAGTTTTTGTTTTGTTTTTCACATTACTCTTTTAAGACTGACTTTTTTCACTCAACATGTTTTTGAGATTCATCGTGTTGTTGCATGTATCTCTTCTTTTAGTTTGAGATTTCATATTTACGTCTATGATCCATCTTGAATTAATTTTTGTGTATGACAAGAGGTCAAGGTTTATTTTAGATGTAATTTTTTAAAAGATCTCTCCCATTTCCTGCATTGATTCTGCTTAATTGTAGGCCATTTGCTGCATTTGCCCAACTTGATTTCCTTATTTCAAGATGCTACCCCTCCTTATATCAAGTTATTTTCTTTTGCTTGCTCACTTTTATGAAAGAAGATCTATATTGATTGGCTATAATAACTGGAGAGGATCTCCTCAGCCATGGTGTAGGACAGAGCTTGACTTCCACAATGGGTTACAACTCCCCCTTCCTGCAGTGGCATAGTAGGTGGCCGTAGTTCTCTGGTGGGCAATTAATTACCCACTTCAATTACCCAGTGACACCTGGAAGCAAATTCTGTGGCCAGCATTCCAGGCCTTGGTGGAGTTTCCAAAGTCCTCTAATTTTCCCCTCCAACTGCACCTCCCTCCTTCCAACATGGTTTGACGAGAGGCAAAATCAGAAATGCTTTCCTCTAACGCTTGCTTGGTCAAGACTTTTCTCCCATAGTCCTCACATAACTGAAGATTTTCTTCTCTAGTTCTACTGTCCTGTGCTCACGAACTAGAGATCTGTGACTTGGCTCCTAGGGTCCTCTTTCAGTTTAAGGCAATTAGATATCATCTGATTTTTGGCAGTGTTTATAGTGTAAGTTTGTACCTCTCAGAATGCTGACATATACCCGATTCCTATCACTGCTTTTATAACTGCCAGAGAAAATTTATTTGGCCAGAGAGTTGCAGATTTGCCACTGTAGTACTGATACGAATGAGCCTAGTTTGAACCTCTTTGTCAACACAAGACAATTCTGTTGATCAACCAAGAGCTATTTATTGTCTAGCGCTGTGGCTATAGTCTCTCCATTGTGTCCTCTTCCTCTCTCTCTTATGAAGAGTATAAACAATAAATAAAGTATTCAGATAAATGCTGGCTATTCCTGATTCTTCATTATTTCATTCTCAACCCATATTGTCATGGTTTCTTCCTTAAACTGAGAAATATCTTAAAACTGATTTTAAGTGGTCCATAGAGAACAATGATTTTGCACTAGAGTCAAGAATAGGCTGAGTTTCATAATAGAATCTGGAAGACTCCTCTTCCCTTTACTCTTAGGGACAAAATGCAATGACCAGGACACAGATGAGAACTACAACTCACATTTGATGAAATTACTTGGGTCAGCTCACCTGTTCAATCTGTTTGTACCATATCATCAGCACGTCCTCTAGCTGACGAACAGTTTCTGAATTGCTAGCTGCAACTGTCACTTCTTCAAAGGTATGCAGCTTGGAGAAATCAACATTGTCTACCTTCTTTAACTTAACTGTTCCCTCAATACTTATTGTAGCACCTAAAAGGGAAAAAATAATATTGAGAAGAGGTGTTTAATATTAACGTGTTAAACGTCAATGTATGGTTTCAAGCTCTAATTACTAAAATGCTAAAGTTCTAATACTTCATAGAAATATAATATAATTCTAATTGATTATTAGATTGTGACTTGATGATTGTTAATAAAACCGTATATTTTAACAATATGAAATAACATAACTATATATTTTTTTAAAGTATATATTTTTAAGTAAGATGAAATTTTTAACAAATAATATATAGAGAGAATCCTCCTGCTACAATGGAAAAGCAAAAAGAAAACATATCTCTTTCCCACAAAGATCCCTGGAAAGAGAGGTTCTAATGATTTGGTAACTTTCCTCTAGGTCTTATACTTATTTTGATTAACATCTTCTTTCAAGATGGAAATTTTTTCTCTAATGCTTATTTTTCATAACATACCTTACTGTTCATTTGCTCATCTTTAGTAATTTATTAAACATTAAATTTTATACTTACCATCTAAAAATGAAAGATATCTATTGATGGTTTCAGTGAAAATGTGTTTTTCAGATTCTCCTTGCTTGGACTGGTTTAAAGCACCCCAACTATTTGTTGCAAGAATAGCTGGTAGAAATATATTTGCCAGCATATTCCTAATCCCAATTAGGAGTCCTTCTGACGCATCCAGAACAGTAAATAGTACATCCTGAAAGGGTGGTGTTCAAATGTTATTTTATACGCCGATCCCATTAAAGAACTGCAAATCATAACCTGTTTTACACTACAATAAGTATAGACAAGATATTTTATAAACTATCAGGAAAACAAGTGGTTGTGAATATTAGAGTTCTAAAACATACAAATGAGTATATTCTGCCCTCATTTTAACCATTTACATGCCTGCTCATCAAGTAGACACTTTCCCTGGTGCTTTAATGTCTGCACAGCGAAGGCAGTAGGGCCGGGAGTCTATACAATGTGAGGGAAATGAAACCGAGCCTCTTGCCTAAAGAAAGTTCTCAGCTGAAAGTCGTCCTGTCTGTGAAAAAGGGTCCAGAAAAACTCTGTCAGTCCAGGGAGAGAGCAATGAAACTAGCCTCTGCCCAGAATTTCGGACGGAAAAAATGTTGGTCAAAGGGTACAAACGTTCAGTTAGAAGACGAATAAGTTTGGGGGATTTAACGTACAACATAGTGATTATAGTTAACAACACAGTATTATATACTTGAAAGCCGGTAAGAGAGTAGATCTTAAACATCATCACCAAAAAAAGAAATGGTAATTATGTAAGGTGATGGAGGTGTTAGCTAATGCTATGGTGGTAATCATTTTGCAATATTTAAGTGTATTAAATCAACTCATTGCACACCTTAAACTTACACAATGTTATACGTTAATTATATCTCAATAAAATTGGAAAAAAGTTTAATTATATATTTGGAAAAAAAAAAGTAAACATACCTCCTGAATATTTTTAATATTTATAGCAACATCATTGCGACAGCGAACAAAAAATATACACAGTCCCTTTAGTTTCTCAGGGGCTGCGCTGTCTATATACAATCTCATCATTTTTGCCCCTTTCGTCGCTCCAGCAATAGTTCGACCACAGTCTGGAAACAAAAGTCAAGAACTTAGCACATGATCACATAACCGATCAAACCTGATAAATTATTGTGGAAGTTTTCAATATGATTGTGGAATAAATTATTTTGTCTACAAAAAGATGTCAATAATTTCCAATATTAAATTGCAGGCTCCTCTGGTGCCTTTCCCTGATTTCTGCACTTTTGCCCCTTTTGGCCTGGTCTCCAGCAGGGCCTTCACACAAGCTATTCTCCTATCCCATCCCCGACGCTTTGCCTACCTAATTCTTACTTATCTTTCAGATCTCGGCTGAAACATCACATCTCTGGGAAGCCTTCACTGACTCCCTTGAGAAGGTCCACTGCCCTGCTAAATAAATACACTCATAGCACCCAGCTTATATTAAATACTTCCTTGAACTAATTTCAGTGAAAATTAATGATTTAATTATAAATCTTTCTTTAATTTTAAAAAACTATTAAAATATGAGAATCCTGTTAGATGGTTGGTTGCAATATTAATATGCAAAAATCAACAGGCTTCCTATTTACTACCATAACCAATTTAAAATATGATAAAAGAAATGTTTAAATCCTCATCCCAAAACCACAAAAATGCTTTGTTTCTAGCCTTTCTTCTTTTGGGTTTGGGGATTCCTCCTGTCCTGTGATTTTGGAGGACACCCGTCTCAGAGCCCTGCAGGAGTGGGCATGTGAAAACTAGACTAATTAGACTATATAAATATAATATAACTACATAGTTATGAGAGAAAAATAGACCCCCTATTTGTTTAAGACATTATTAGGATTTCCATTACTTACAGCTGAACATATTCCTGGCTGATAGATCCATCAATTGGAGAACAGTTTCTAAGAATCAGAATGCAGCTGTACTATAGAATACTGTACAGCATTTCTTAAATGAGGTAAATCTATATGTAATAACATAGAAAATGTCTAGCCTATACTATCGAGTGCAAAAAGCAAGTCAAGAATAAAATGTATTATACGATCACATTTTAAAATGATAATAAGCACTTATATGTTAGCACATGCATATAAGAAACACATGTAGAGGAATATTTACCAAGTTGATAAATGTATTACATTTGTGTGTGTGTGTGAGGAAGATCAGCCCTGAGCTAACATCTGCTAATCCTCCTCTTTTTGCTGAGGAAGACTGGCCATGGGCCAATATCCATGCCCATCTTCCTCCACTTTATATAGGACGTCGCCACAGCATGGCCTGCCAAGCAGCGTGTGGGTGCGCGCCCGGGATCCGAACCAGCGAACCCCGGGCCACCGCAGCGGAGTGCGCGCACTTAACCGCTTGCGCCACCAGGCCAGCCCCGATAAATGTATTACTTTTGTAGGTAGCAAAAATAATGATTAAAAATATGTCTATGCTTTCTCTGGAAATTCCCCTCCTAAGAATTCTTCCTAAAAAGTCTTCCTAATCCACATAGAATTAGCTTCAATGATATTCATTGAGGCATTGTTTAAAGGAGCAAAATAGTGTAAACAACCTAAATTTTAACAATAGGAGATAAGTTTTTAAAATAATAGTGGCATTAGCCTAATGAAATACAACGCAACTCTTTAAAATTTAATTGTAGAAATGTATCTAGCGGCATGGAGAAGAGAATATTAACAAATTTTAAAAACCATCACAGAATGATAGGTAGAGTTGGATCCCATTCTTGTAACATATAGATATACTAGATATACAGATATATAGATATACACACAACTATATATACAACTATATATATACACACACACATACTCTACATACACATATCTAACTTTCTCTGTCTCCGTCTCTCTCTATATATATACATACACCAAAGAAGTTACAGAGGAATATTCATCAAGGAGTTAACAGTGCTTATTTCAAGTGAGTGGGAATGTAGGTGGCTTTTATTTTTCTCTAATTATAGATATTTTCTTATATTTCTTTAATTTTCAGCTATTGTTTTAATTTTTAATGAGTTATGAAAATATAGACCATAAAATAATGCCACAGGATAAGAATTGTGAGAGACAGAAAATCCATAGAGCAGACCTGGTCATTAATTATGAGTTTACATATTTTGTGGGGTAAGAAAGATATATACATTGAACAATTAGATGAAAATAGAAGAACATAATCAAGTGCTGTATTCTACGATGCAAACTTTAAATGAGACAGGAGTTTGGAGGAGAGTGATGGATGTGGTTTGGAACACTGGGGTGGCTCCATAGAAAAGAGAATGCATGAGATGATCTGGAGTCTGGAGGAGGAGTAGGATTTGGCTCAGCGGAGAGAAGAAAGGCATTCTGAAAGAGTCGAGGGGGCAGAGAAAAGGGCACAGAAATGACTCTGGTATGTACAGAAAACAACGAAGAGACCTGCTTAAAAGGAAAAGCAAGTTCACGTCTGGAAGAATAGATCAGACTAAACAAGTACTGTGTATCCAGGTTACAACGGGCCCTAGCGGTTAAATGAGGGTTTGGACTCGACTCAACAACTAGCAGCACAATAAAAGATTTACTTGACAAGAATAAGTAGTGTGAACTTCAGAGAGGAAACACGGTAACACATACTAGTTTTCTATCTGGAATACTAGGGCAGGCATGAGCCCAGCCCAAGGTCACATAGGAGGAAAGTGAGAAAGAACCAATAGGAGGGATACACTGAAGGTAAAACCCACAGGACTTAGAGATAAGGAGTCTGAGACCAAATGATGGCTCATGTACCTAGTTATTAAGACAAAGGTTTAACAACCTGGTAAAGTGTTAATTATTTTAAGAATAATGTGAACAGTAGGGGAAGCCGGACATTCCAGCTGACAGCTGCAGCAGACACAAGATGCTGACCCAGGACCACAGGGAGCAGCTGCTGAGCTCTTGGGGGGGGGGGGGGTTACGACGATTTCTGGTCATCTGAAAACATCCAGGTATTTCAGGGAAAATGCAATTAAATTCTAGTGAAAATGTGCATTCTCCAGGAAAGGACAATGATTTTTATAAGATGTTTTCTCCTTAATTCATTGTAGTAATGCCTGAAATATATATTTGAGCTGAAAATGTATTGTTTTTAGGACACTATATTTTCCACATGTAAGCTTCTGGTAATTTTTTTTTATAAATATGGGATCGTCTATGTATAAGAGAAAAGATATGTTGCATTTTAACATTCATTAACTAATACCTAGCACATTACCCTTGTAAAACATCCTTACCCAGACCAGGTACATCTCCTTCCTGGTACAGAAATTTCAATGTCTTACAACCATCTTTCATAAAAAAACGAGTAAATGCTTCCAGCTGTTAAATAAAAGAGAAAATGATAATCAATAAAATGACTAGGGAACTACAATAAAATGAACCAAGCCCTGCGTCAGGCATTTTACATAACTTAATCTTCATCATTTTGTAAATAAAAAAAAAATGATGCTCAAAGAGTTTATTCAAGATACACAGTGACAGGTATGGCAAAGGCAGGATTAGAATCTATTCTAAATATCCAAATATCGAATGCAACAAATTCTTGTTTTTTAGACACATTGTACTCCTGAGACCAGCAGAGTGAATGCCATCATGGGCAAAAATCATGACTGCAGATTAAAAATTTACTTATAATACGTAACATTTTACAAACAGTTCATTTGAGCTTCACCGCAACATTGCAATAGGTAAGGCAGCATTATTATGGCCCTCTTGCAGAAGAGAAAAACTAAAGCAAAAAAGAATTTGAGTGAAGGACCCAAAGGCACACAACCACAAGTGCAGAGCCTGGAATTGGGTGCAGCCGTGGCCCTCCAGATCTGCGCTCTTTCCACAGAACCGTACTGCTGCTGCCTTGACTCTGGAAAATACTGTCACATAAGCCAGGAAAGCAATGTCTGTGACTATCTTGAGCAGAGCAGAATGAAGGGAGTAGTAAAACGGGAAGCAGCAGAAGCAGGAAAGCCAATGTGCTGGAAACCTCTGTATTGGTCAGGGTCCTGGCAAGAAAAGGAGTCCCATCAAAGGAGTTTTTGAAGAATCATTACAATAAAGAAGCTACTTCTAGAGGCCAGAACGGGGTTAAAGGAAGCTGTGGCACTAGCAGCGATAAGAGGACTAGCAGTGAAGGAAAGCCAGTACCACCGCAGAGCCTGAAAGCCTGGGAGTAGGAGAGAATGGCATAGCTTGAAGCAAGTTGAGAACTGGAGCTGGGGGAGAGGGGATGCCCGGGAGGAGCTGTAGCTATGGGAGGACACGACCAAGACCAGAAACAAGGCCAAGTGGAAAGAACTCAGACTTCTCTCCCCGTCCGCCCTCCAATCTCCTGCTGGTGCCTCCCAGTGGCTGAGCCACGTGAAAGCCAGAGAGCAAGGGAGCCCAGATGACGGATTCAAGAAAGTTCGGCCTTCCAGGCCACAGAGCAGGGTGGAGAAGAGTGGATAATGGATCTGAAGGCAAACAAAATAACCATCACACCCTCTGTTGTCCACCACTTTTGTGGTACCTTTAGTGAGCTGCTTTCGCTCTGAATTGCACACCGGGCTTCACATAACAGGAAAACTTTTCCATGTACCCAGTTTCCTAAACCATCACACCCAACCATGCCACCCCTTGCTCCTTGTTCCATCTTCTTACACATTTGTCCACCAATCTTGATGCCAGTTTACTATATGTCCTTGCCCTATCCCTTCAACCAAATAAGCACTCTAATCTCTCCCAGATTTTGACATTGGTTTCCCTCCCGACTGTACTATCTTCCCTCCACCGTGGCTTTCCAATTCACAGATAACTCTTAGGGAACCACCTTTCCTGGCTTGATTCTTCCCTTAAGACCCAGATTTCCTTTCTTGCAGCCTAAGCAGTGTCTGGCCTAGTCTGTGACAGCCTTAAAGGAAGAATCTAACCACTTAGACCCAAAGTCCGAGACATACCCCAGGAATGACAAACAGAAGGCTTTGCAGGCATATGGCACTCCCACTTCCTGGCCAGCATGCTAGTCGGTGAGAAAGACTTCCTCCAAGCAGAGAATGCCAGCCCAGAAAGCCAGGTGGCAAATATTTAAGGGTGAGATTACCAGCTTTGCAGGCACCCATCTCCCCCGACCCCGACTTAGTCCTAGCAGCTGTCCGCCTCTGAAGGCACTGGCCAGATCCAATGTCTATGCCTAAACTCTTCACAGAGCTGCTGGGATTCCAATTGTGGGGTTAGCCAAATTTATGGCCTAGCAATTTTCAGGTGAAACAAGGTTGATCACCTCTCTGGTTTCCTCTCTAACCAAGTGCAGGAATGATCCTCAGGACAAGCCGGAAGCCTGGGTCTATAGAGAAACACTCTCTTAGAAATAGGTCTTTCCTTCATCTCGTCGTAGTCATCTGCTCAGGGATGCATATAGGGTTGTTTTGCACCATTTTCTTCTACTTGGAAAATAGGCAGACACATAGCCAGAGTCGCCAGAGGAGCCAAAACAGTCAGTAGGGAAGGGAGGCCAGGAGAGTATTAAAACAAACAAACAAAAAAATACAAACAAACAAAAATAACTTGAGAATGGCAAAGAGCATCCTCTTGCTACACAGAGGATATCACCCACAGCCAAGACAGGCTACAGAATTTCATTTTACAGAAATGAAAATGCAGGACCACTTGTTAAAAAATTATTAAGAATTTCAAGATGGCCACAGGAGATCATTAAACCAAGCACAGGGACCTTCAGCACAGAGGCCTATTCTACTACACAGCCCACATGCCTATGAAGCCATCCTTGACCGCACCAGTACATTCCCGCAGGAAACTCTGGTGGCCTGGGAAACCATACCCCACTTCCAGTTGCTGGCTGTGGCATCTCTTGTTTTATGTACACATCATGCATTTTTCTATCCTTTGGCATTAAAATAGCTCAGAGCTATCAATCCCTCTGCATCAACCACATTCCCATCTCAATGTAACACACTAAGCGAGCAGGAGCATGAGCAATCCCATTCATACTGTCAGGGGATGGCCAGTTCTAAGCTTTTATAAGGGTCTTGGAAGAAATGAAGGGCAGACAACTTTCCAGAACTTGACAACACATTGCATCAAGCAAAAGAGAGGCTCTTTTAGGAACCATTCAACAGAATCTTGGTTCCTAGAGCAAGCTAAAGAGTGTTGCCCAGGTTCACTGTTCCCTGTAAAAGCAGGGGGTATGGACCCTGATGATGACAACCTCATCAAACATTGCCCCCACCGCAACTCCCTCAGCAGTGCATTCAGTGGGACAATCAGCTCAACACCAGCATGCACCTGCTCACTGGTCTTGCTGGGGCTCCAGTCCAGTCCACTCCTAGAGTTGATAAAAAGCTCAAATAGCTAGTAGTATTTTTATTGAAAACTAATTTAGAATCAGAGCTATCAGGAAGGAAGCTAAAACATTGCTTCTGAGAGCTACTATGAAAGTCACAGCTTAACTATAATAAGAGTGACTATATAAAATTCATCAACCAAAACTAGGACCCTTTTAGGAGTGAAAGGAGGGACTGCTAATAATTATGCCAGGAGAGTAGGCATAATCCAGGACTGTCCTGGCACGCTGAGACATACGGTAACTGCCTCACCGTTTTCTACTATACTCATGCAACAGTCACTGTTCCCTAGCTCATATTTATGCAGTTGGTTTTTCTATCTAAATAATCTGCGTATGTAATTCACATAACCTGTACTTTTGAAATATTACTCTACCTGTGCTTGACTATCCCTCTAACTTCTAAAGTCATTTCAAGTTAGAATCTTAGAATCAAATTCTAGCTGCTAACTCTTCTCTTTCCTTCCTCAATAATAGACCTAACTAGACAGATCATTCAGCTGGCTATAATTATATAAAATAAAGCTTCTCTACTCAGTAAAATTCCAGCCTCCTCTTTCTAAATGTTTTGTTGTTCATGACAATGATGCCAGTTTCTTACATCAATCACTTCTCAAAGAGAAATTAAAAAATAATGATAAGACAAACTTACAGATGGGCAATCCAAAATTAATTCTTCAACAGTTACTAAGTCCAGGCCAAGCTTTTCAGATAGAATTTCAAATATATATTTGTATAAAGGGTCAATTTTCAGTTTTCGGCTTTCCCTTGCATCTCTAAATCTTGCCTAAAGAAAGAAAACCACATGTAAAAATTGCAATTATGAAGAAAAACCACCAAAATATTTCATTCGAAATAAAAGTGACACATATAAAAAAAACTTATTATAAGCAAAACCTGTCTCTCTTTTAATGTTTCCTGTAGATTTGGAATGCCACTCATGCTTCGGCGATATTTGGAGGATCTGTGGGAAGACTGAGAGAGCATTTCAGAAAGCGCTGATTGCACCATTCGGGGTGCAGGCCTAGGTCGAACTCTATGTGGATCCGGCTCATCATCGTCTGGAAGAATTATCCTTTCATCAGAAGGAATGAGATTCAGATAATCACTTGCAGAAGGCGAAGGACCTTTTTCGGAAAGAGAGATAACATCTTCTGCAGAAGCTGCTTTTCCTGGAGGGGGTGGGGACTTTCCACCCGAAGGAGGAGGACCCTCTTCTCCCAGATCAGGAAGGGCAAAATCTTCTGAAGGAGGGGCTGGCTCCTCCGAAGAGGGAGGAGCTGCTTCTTCTGGAGCAGGAGGGCTAACTTGTCCAGCGCTCATGTTATCCGCTCTTTCCTCCTGCAGAGCACTTTAAACTTCAAAACCTAGAATTATAAAATGTTTTCTTTTCAAACTGCACAATAAGGTGAGTGTTATGCGTTAATTTATTGCTCCCCTTGAAGCTAGACAGGTAGCAAAATCATTTATTTCTTCCTTACTACATTATCTAAAGAATCTAAGTTTATAGGACTAGAGAAATGATTTTTTTTAAGGGGACAGCACATACACACACAACCTAGGGGCTTTTTCAAACTATAATTGCTCCTCCTGATTATGATATGACCGCAGGGGACTGGGGCTCCACACATATACCATCCCTGTCATAGTAACCACTGCAGCTGATGGGAGGGCACCTGTCTTCAGGTATATAAGGGCTAAAAAAAGATTGACAGCCACTGTATTAGAGGACCAACGTGATCACCGCTGACATACTCACTTATCCAAGAGAACAAGCAAAGAGCTACACAAACTGAAATGTTCCTTGCTTGGAGGAACTCTGTGATACGATACAATTCACCAATCAGACACTCAACTGTCTAGCCATCTATCTCATCTATATGAGCATAACCAAGAAACACGCAAAAGCATAAAACATTCTCTCAGCAGCCATAATGAATATCCCAACTCTAAACATAAAATTCATGCTAAAATGTGATTGTGACGATTTATTGAAGCAATGGTATCATATAAAGTATAAATCTGACCTACCCAATCAGAAAAGCCTAATTATAAAAGAGTGTGGAAGTTATCATGAGCACATAACCAGGAAAATTTGGTGACACCAATGGAACGGGAGAAAACGTCAGTTACAGAAAAAAAATCATATTATAGGACAATAATTAAGCCGCCATTGAAATAAGTTTTCAGGATATGGCTAAGATCCAGAAACCAAAATAATACTAAATTCTTAAGAACAAAAGAATAAATTCCAAAGCAAATAATTCAAAAGAAGAAGACAGAGAAAGAGGCTTTCTAGTGAGAAATTCTGAGGACACTGGAGCAGACCTGGCCTAAGTAAGTGCTTCTTATGGAGGGACACCAGCAGTCCCCTGTAAGAGGACAGAGACAGCCTATAACCTGTACCCCACAGCTCCTCTCTCCAGGTTTTCCAATGAACCATAAACAGCTGAAATTGTTTTGTTTGATATACTAACTTGGCCTGCTCAAGAACAGAAATACCCAAACTGACTATCTTTTAGCTGCCAGCTAACCAGTTTACACACCCACCAAGATGTGCAAACAAGAACCACTGTTCCCAAACTGTCTGCAGTCTTTTTTCTCATCCTTCTCTCGTCTCTCTTTTATAAATCCTGAGTTTTGTCTTTGTTCCTTGGCCACAACTGTCTGTCATCTTCACATGTAAGTAAATATGCTTGGAAAATAACTAATTAAATATCCCTGAGTTATTATTGGATACAACGGAGATATACAATACCCAGGAGTTGTGTGTGCATTACATTCTCATACTTGAAATTGGCCTAGAGTTGGTCATGCCATCAAGAACAAGTGTAATGATACATATTAGTGAAGTCATATCAACTGCCTGTCACTCTGCTCAAATTTATGCTTTTAAATTCTGTGAAGCAATTCACTTTAAGAGAATTGTGCCTTCTCTCAAAGGTTTTTGATAGGCATGGTTGTCTGGCTTCAGAAACCAAAGCAAAATTTACTTTAATTTCAATATAATGGTAAAACACATGTACTGATTGAGCTCAGTAGGACTGGAGAGCTTCTCTGTGGGCAACCAGTGCTCTTTCTAGAGCCACACAGTTATTTAATCCACTACAGAGCCACTATTATCTACGCCATCAAGGAATGGTTAAAATTGAATCATGATATTTTGGTTAAGAAATCAGGGAAGTATGCAATAAATCTTAATGAGTTTTCCATCTAAAAATGGCTACTATTATTTAAGTGTTGGCACAAATTAAATTTTCAGAAAATGTTATTATCCAACACAATTCATTCCCTGAGGATTCCAGATAGTTGAGATTCACAGCACATAATTTCAGAACTACAAAAAACCCTTAGAAATCATCTAGTGCAACTCGCCCTGTTTACTGATAATGAAACTCAGATCCAGAGAAGTTACAGGCCTCATTCAATTACACAGCCAAGAATGATCTTTTTAAACTTCAGATCGTATCATATCACTGCCGTATTTGTAAAGTCCTCCTCTGGGTGCCAAATACAAACTCTTGAGTCCTCCAGGGCTTTCCTGACTCAGTTCCAATCTTTCTCTCCAGTTTCTTCTATGGCCTTTGCAGTCTGTGCTGCCTGGAGTCACAACACTTTGGCATTTCCTGAAACAAGCACCGTTCTCTCACCTCTAGGCATTGGCAAGGAGCTCACAGTCTAATGAGGGAGGCAAACATACCGACAAACACTTATAGTTTCACTGGAACCAGCCAAAGTGTGCACAAGAATCTGCAGCATCAGAGGAGAAAGTACAGGAGGGAAATCTCTGAGGAGCTGTCGTTTAAGATAAGTCTTGGTAAGATACATACAAGTTCCATGGAGAAGACTGGGGAAGTAATATTAACTGTCAACAATTAAATGCCAGATTCTGTGCTTGGTGATATATATAACTCTGCTTGATAAAAAAAATATATATATACACACACATATATACAGAATAGAAATAATATATTAATTTTCTATATATTTAATGTTCAATACATTTAATATTCAACATATATATCACGTATATTCAATGCATATTTTTTTGAGCTTTTTTTTTTTTTTTTGGTTAGGAAGATTGGCCCTGAGCTAACATCTGTTGCCAATCTTCCTCTTTTTGGTTGAGGAAGATCGTCGATATGCTAACATCCATGCCAATCTTCCTCTATTTTGTATGTGGGATGCCACTTCAGCATAGTTTGACAAGCGGTATGTAGGTCTGTGCCCAGGATCCAAACCTGTGAACCCTGGGCTGCCAAAGCAGAGCACACAAACTTAACTACTACACCACCAGGCCAGCACCCATTGAGCATTTTTTATAACACTAATAAACCCAATGTATTTCAGTCTTTCAACATTTACGTTCTGCTAAGATGATGAGTTTCATTTCTTTTAAAAATAAATGGCCAGTTGGAGGACTCACACTCAACAATTCAAAAACTTACTACAGGCTACAATAATCAAGACAATGTGGTTGGCATAAAGACAGACATATAAACAAATGAAATAGATTTGAGAGGCTAGAAATAAACTCATACATTTATGGTCAATTGATTTTTCACAAGGGTGCTAAGATAGTTTGATTGGGAAATAACAGTCTTTTCAACAAATGGTAGTGAGACAACTGGAAAAACATGTGGATACACATGTAAGAGAATGAGTTTCGATCTCTATTTCACATCACATACAAAAATTAACTCAAAATGGATCAAAGACCTGCATGTAAGAACAATAACTAAGAAACTTTTAGAAGGAAATGTAAGTGAAAATCTGTGTGACCTTAGATTAGGCAGAGTTGCCCAAATCTCGGATTAGAGAACGGTTTTTTAGGTATGACACCAAAAGCCACAAGCAATTGAAGAAAAAAATAAACCTCATCAAAATTAAAAACTTTCATGCATCAAAGACACTATCAAGAAAGTGAAAAGACAAACCACAGAATGGGAGAAAATATTTGCAAATCATATGTTTGATAAGGATCTAGTATTCAGGATATATCAAGAACTCTTACTCAACAATAAAAAAGACAAATAACCCAATATAAAATGCGCAATTTAAAAATGGGCAAAGAACCAAAACAGACATTTCCAAAAGAAGATATACAAATGACCAACAAGCACATGAAAAGATGTTCAACATCATCAGCCATTGGGGAAATGCAAATCAAAACCACAATAAGATAGCACTCTACACCCACTAGGATGGCTATAATTTTTTTTAAAAAGACAATAAAAAGTGTTGGCAAGGATGTAGAGAAATCTAAATCTTCATACATTGCTGGCAGGAATGTAAAATAGTGCAGTCTCTATGGAAAATGGTCTCGCGGTTTCTCAAAAAGCTAAACATAGAATTACCACATGACCCAGTAATTTCACTCCTAGGTGGAATTCTACTAGCAATTCCACCCAATAGAATTGATGACATATGTTCACACAAAAATTTGTACACAAATGTTCATAGCAGCATTATTTATAATAGCCAAAAAATGGAAACAACCCAAGTGTCCAAAGAGGTGATTAAATGGATAAACAAAATGTGGCATATCCACATAATGAAATATTACTCAGTCATAAGAAAGAATGAAGAACTGCTACATGCTACAACGTGGATAAACCTTAAAAACATCACATTAAGTGAAAGAAGCCAGACTCAAAAGGCCACATATTACATGAGTCTATAAAATGCTCAGAAAAGGCAAACCCATAGAGACAGAAAGTAGATTAGCGGTTGCCAGGAGATGGGAGAAGAATTGGGTCTAACTGCTCATAGGCATGGGTTTCCTTTTTGGGTGATGGAAATGTTCTGGAATTAGATAGTGGTTATGGTTGCACAACACAGTGAATATAATAAAAACTACTGAAGTGTACACTTGAACACGGTGAATTTTATGTTATGTGAAGTAGATCTCAATTTTAAAATGCTGTTTAATAAAAAGACAAGAAAACATGTGTCTTGACATGAGTACAGCCATGTTTGGCCGCTCCATTGACCTACAGCCACCAGCACAAAAAGAAATATAAAAGCTGCTTTCTGCGTGGTGGGAACTGGCCCTTCTCCCATGGAGATAGTTGCAATGTGTAAAAATTTCAAGGCCTTTTGGGCACCGCAGCCTGGGACAGACTGGCCATCTGTGCCGGGCTGGGACGATAAGCAGGGTAAACAATGCACGTACACAACTACTGGGC